TAGTGGACAGACAACACGTCTAGTGGACAGACATGTGTAGTGGACAGACAACACGTCTAGTGGACAGACACGTCTAGTGGACAGACAACACGTCTAGTGGACAGACATGTGTAGTGGTCGGACACGTCTAGTGGACAGACATGTGTAGTGGACAGACAACACGTCTAGTGGACAGACATGTGTAGTGGTCGGACACGTCTAGTGGACAGACATGTGTAGTGGACAGACAACACGTCTAGTAGACAGACATGTGTAGTGGACAGACAACACGTCTAGTGGACAGACATGTGTAGTGGACAGACAACACGTCTAGTGGACAGACATGTGTAGTGGTCGGACACGTCTAGTGGACAGACATGTGTAGTGGACAGACAACACGTCTAGTGGACAGACATGTGTAGTGGACAGACAACACGTCTAGTGGACAGACATGTGTAGTGGTCGGACACGTCTAGTGGACAGACATGTGTAGTGGACAGACAACACGTCTAGTGGACAGACATGTGTAGTGGTCGGACACGTCTAGTGGACAGACATGTGTAGTGGACAGACAACACGTCTAGTGGACAGACATGTGTAGTGGACAGACAACACGTCTAGTGGACAGACATGTGTAGTGGTCGGACACGTCTAGTGGACAGACATGTGTAGTGGACAGACAACACGTCTAGTGGACAGACATGTGTAGTGGACAGACAACACGTCTAGTGGACAGACATGTGTAGTGGTCGGACACGTCTAGTGGACAGACATGTGTAGTGGACAGACAACACGTCTAGTGGACAGACATGTGTAGTGGTCGGACACGTCTAGTGGACAGACATGTGTAGTGGACATACAACACGTCTAGTGGACAGCATTTGTAGTGGACAGACAACACGTCTAGTGGACAGACATGTGTAGTGGTCGGACACGTCTAGTGGACAGACATGTGTAGTGGACAGACAACACGTCTAGTGGACAGACATGTGTAGTGGACAGACAACACGTCTAGTGGACAGACATGTGTAGTGGACAGACAACACGTCTAGTGGACAGACACGTCTAGTGGACAGACAACACGTCTAGTGGACAGTCATGTGTAGTGGTCGGACACGTCTAGTGGACAGACATGTGTAGTGGACAGACAACACGTCTAGTGGACAGACATGTGTAGTGGTCGGACACGTCTAGTCGACAGACATGTGTAGTGGACAGACAACACGTCTAGTAGACAGACATGTGTAGTGGACAGACAACACGTCTAGTGGACAGACATGTGTAGTGGACAGACAACACGTCTAGTGGACAGACATGTGTAGTGGACAGACAACACGTCTAGTGGACAGACATGTGTAGTGGACAGACAACACGTCTAGTGGACAGACATGTGTAGTGGACAGACACGTCTAGTGGGCAGACATGTGTAGTGGACAGACAACACGTCTAGTGGACAGACAACACGTCTAGTGGGCAGACATGTGTAGTGGACAGACAACACGTCTAGTGGACAGACAACACGTCTAGTGGACAGACATGTGTAGTGGTCGGACACGTCTAGTCGACAGACATGTGTAGAGTTCGGACACGTCTAGTGGACAGACATGTGTAGTGGACAGACAACACGTCTAGTGGACAGACATGTGTAGTGGACAGACAACACGTCTAGTGGACAGACATGTGTAGTGGTCGGACACGTCTAGTGGACAGACATGTGTAGTGGACAGACAACACGTCTAGTGGACAGACATGTGTAGTGGTCGGACACGTCTAGTGGACAGACATGTGTAGTGGACAGACAACACGTCTAGTGGACAGACATGTGTAGTGGACAGACAACACGTCTAGTGGACAGACATGTGTAGTGGTCGGACACGTCTAGTGGACAGACATGTGTAGTGGACAGACAACACGTCTAGTGGACAGACATGTGTAGTGGTCGGACACGTCTAGTGGACAGACATGTGTAGTGGACATACAACACGTCTAGTGGACAGCATTTGTAGTGGACAGACAACACGTCTAGTGGACAGACATGTGTAGTGGTCGGACACGTCTAGTGGACAGACATGTGTAGTGGACAGACAACACGTCTAGTGGACAGACATGTGTAGTGGACAGACAACACGTCTAGTGGACAGACATGTGTAGTGGACAGACAACACGTCTAGTGGACAGACACGTCTAGTGGACAGACAACACGTCTAGTGGACAGTCATGTGTAGTGGTCGGACACGTCTAGTGGACAGACATGTGTAGTGGACAGACAACACGTCTAGTGGACAGACATGTGTAGTGGTCGGACACGTCTAGTGGACAGACATGTGTAGTGGACAGACAACACGTCTAGTAGACAGACATGTGTAGTGGACAGACAACACGTCTAGTGGACAGACATGTGTAGTGGACAGACAACACGTCTAGTGGACAGACATGTGTAGTGGACAGACAACACGTCTAGTGGACAGACATGTGTAGTGGACAGACAACACGTCTAGTGGACAGACATGTGTAGTGGACAGACACGTCTAGTGGGCAGACATGTGTAGTGGACAGACAACACGTCTAGTGGACAGACAACACGTCTAGTGGGCAGACATGTGTAGTGGACAGACAACATGTCTAGTGGACAGACAACACGTCTAGTGGACAGACATGTGTAGTGGTCGGACACGTCTAGTCGACAGACATGTGTAGAGTTCGGACACGTCTAGTGGACAGACATGTGTAGTGGACAGACAACACGTCTAGTGGACAGACATGTGTAGTGGACAGACAACACGTCTAGTGGACAGACAACACGTCTAGTGGACAGACAACACGTCTAGTGGACAGACATGTGTAGTGGACAGACAACACGTCTAGTGGACATACATGTGTAGTGGTCAGACACGTCTAGTGGACAGACAACACGTCTAGTGGACAGACATGTGTAGTGATCGGACACGTCTAGTCGTCAGACATGTGTAGAGTTCGGACACGTCTAGTGGACAGACATGTGTAGAGTTCGGACACGTCTAGTGGACAGACATGTGTAGTGGTCAGACACGTCTAGTGGACAGACATGTGTAGTGGACAGACATGTGTAGTGGTCGGACATGTGTAGTGGACAGACATGTGTAGTGATCGGACACGTCTAGTGGACAGACATGTGTAGTGGTCAGACACGTCTAGTGGACAGACATGTGTAGTAGACAGACAACACGTCTAGTGGACAGACATGTGTAGTGGTCGGACACGTCTAGTGGACAGACATGTGTAGTGGTCAGACACGTCTAGTGGACAGACACGTGTAGTGGACAGACATGTGTAGTGGTCGGACACGTCTAGTGGACAGACATGTGTAGTGGTCAGACACGTCTAGTGGACAGACATGTGTAGTGGACAGACATGTGTAGTGGTCGGACACGTCTAGTGGACAGACATGTGTAGTGGTCGGACACGTCTAGTGGACAGACATGTGTAGTGATCAGACACGTCTAGTGGACAGACATGTGTAGAGTTCGGACACGTCTAGTGGACAGACATGTGTAGTGGTCGGACACGTCTAGTGGACAGACACGTCTAGTGGACAGACACGTCTAGTGGACAGACATGTGTAGTGGACAGACAACACGTCTAGTGGACAGACATGTGTAGTGGTCGGACACGTCTAGTGGACAGACATGTGTAGTGGTCAGACACGTCTAGTGGACAGACATGTGTAGTGATCAGACACGTCTAGTGGACAGACATGTGTAGAGTTCGGACACGTCTAGTGGACAGACATGTGTAGTGGTCGGACACGTCTAGTGGACAGACACGTCTAGTGGACAGACACGTCTAGTGGACAGACATGTGTAGTGGACAGACAACACGTCTAGTGGACAGACATGTGTAGTGGTCGGACACGTCTAGTGGACAGACATGTGTAGTGGTCAGACACGTCTAGTGGACAGACATGTGTAGTGGACAGACAACACGTCTAGTGGACAGACATGTGTAGTGGTCGGACACGTCTAGTGGACAGACATGTGTAGTGGTCAGACACGTCTAGTGGACAGACATGTGTAGTGGTCGGACACGTCTAGTGGACAGACACGTCTAGTGGACAGACACGTCTAGTGGACAGACATGTGTTGTGGACAGACATGTGTAGTGGACAGACATGTGTAGTGGACAGACATGTGTAGTGGTCGGACACGTCTAGTGGACAGACACGTCTAGTGGACAGACATGTGTAGTGGACAGACATGTGTAGTGGACAGACATGTGTAGTGGTCGGACACGTCTAGTGGACAGTCACATTGGAAAAATATAGTTCCTTCTATGACAAAAGATGTCTTTATCGTAAACCAACATGCCTTGAATCTATTTGTCGGGAGCCAATATGTGGGGAGTCAATGTGAAGGGAGCCCATTTGACGGGGCTGTTTTGACTGGATCGTTATGTCGAGGGTGGGGGCGTTTTGTCGGTTTTTTTTTTACACGTGATGTTTGACTGCTCCGTCATGATCATCATATTCGTTATTTTACTTCTGGCTTGCATAAATAATAGCTTCCCTTGTGTTGGAACAAATGGACTACAAACACGCTAAAACTGTGGTGTACTTGTTGGTCGGGCCCGTGAGATCTTCTACTGTAGTCTGTCTGACGGCTGTAAAAATAAAATTGGTCTAGGTCAGGGGTCTCCAAACTTTTCAGTCCGAGGGCCGCATTAACTATCAAATTTCAGTTCGGGGGCCAGTTTCTCCCAGAAATGTCTTTGATTTTTTGGGCAAAGTTCCTCCGCCATCACCAACAAACGGGTTTTCCGTGGACAAAAGGGTCTCCGCGGGCCGGATGAGAGGACATCGCGGGCCGCATCCGGCCCGCGGGCCGTAGTTTGGAGACCCCTGGTCTAGGTGACGAAAGTCGTTACAGCCCCAGCAGACGACTTGTTATAAATACAAATTGACAAGGCGCCAAAATTAAATCGATCCTGTCATTGGCGTCCAATCCAGTTGCCTGCATATATTTAATTTTTTGCATGTCTTTTACAAATCACTGGCAACTTTTATTGTCGCATGCATGGGTCTACCCAAGCAGTGCATAAAACTGCAAGGAAAATTATTTGCTGGAACTATTCTTTTGCTGGAACCAACGAAGACAGGTAAGAAACTCTTTCATTTCCAATTACATATTTGTATGGGTAGTAGTAGATGAATATATATATATATATATATATATATATATATATATATATATATATATATATATATATATATATATATATATATATATATATATATAAATGTGCATATGACAAATGAAATATTTAGATGTATTATATACCACTTTTACATTCTCTTGTTCGGATATTTTTTTATTATTGATTCAATAAACATATATTTATTTCTTATTTTATAAGTGTAGGCTCAATAGTCGTCAGCTATGGCTTTTAGTCTAAGTCACCGCGCCATACTAGATAGCAATGTACGTCACATCTACAGCGGTTCTCACGCTGGCTACAACCTGAGGCAGTGGGAGGCACCTGAAGGGTCGGCGGGTCAAGGACAGGTGGGTGCCACTGTCAGATACAGGTGTGTGTGTGTCGACTGTCAGATACAGGTGTGTGTGTGTCGACTGTCTGATACAGGTGTGTGTGTGTGTGTTTGTGTCTACTGTCTGATACAGGTGTGTGTGTGTGTGTGTGTACTGTCTGATACAGGTGTGTGTGCGTGTGTGTACTGTCTGATACAGGTGTGTGTGTGTGTGTCTACTGTCTGATACAGGTGTGTGTGTGCGTGTGTCTACTGTCTGATACAAGTGTGTGTGTGTGTGTGAGAGAGAGAGAGTGTGTGTGTGTGGTTATTGTCTGTTACAGTTAGGTATGTGGTCTCTGCCACACATGTGCAATGACTGTCAATACCATGGATGATAGCTTGAACCACGGACGTAATGTCTAGATCCTATAGGCCAGGACCAGACGTGTGGTAATGTCTAACTGTTGTAACAGCCTGACAGGACCAGACGTGTGGTAATGTCTAACTGTTGTAACAGCCTGACAGGACCAGACGTGTGGTAATGTCTAACTGTTGTAACAGCCTGACAGGACCAGACGTGTGGTAATGTCTAACTGTTGTAACAGCCTGACAGGACCAGACGTGTGGTAATGTCTAACTGTTGTAACAGCCTGACAGGACCAGATGTGTGGTAATGTCTAACTGTTGTAACAGCATGGCTTTACTTAGGTCCTATAGGCCAGGACCCAATCTTCTGAAAAATTAACTTTAAGTTAATGTTTTTTTTTTAAATACATTTTGTCTAAATTCGAATATAGAACATTCCAACTGCAACAAAGCTTTAAACTATTTACAAAAGTCTGGAAAATGTTTTTAAACTTTTGACTTCAGCGTCAGAGTTCAGAGCGGTACCGCCATCTTCTGTGTTTGGAGGAGTACGACCAGCAGTATAAAACACGACTACCTATTGCACCAGCGTTTAAACGAGTCACCGGAAAGGAAGATGTTTTCAAAGCCACAGACCCACCTCGATATCACCACCCATTTTACAGGATGACCAACGCAGACTATAAACAATACGCTGGTCAGTTCATGGAGGAGAGACATAGAGCTTGGCTGAGGCAGCGCAGGGTTTACACAACTGGACCCCAACGTTAGGCGCCCTGGACCCACGGCTAGGCGCCCTGGACCCACGGCTAGGTGCCCTGGACCCACGGCTAGGTGCCCTGGACCCACGGCTAGGTGCCCTGGACCCACGGCTAGGTGCCCTGGACCCACGGCTAGGTGCCCTGGACCCACGGCTAGGTGCCCTGGACCCACGGCTAGGCGCCCTGAACCCACGGCTAGGCGCCCTGAACCCACGGCTAGGTGCCCTGGACCCACGGCTAGGCGCCCTGGACCCACGGCTAGGCGCCCTGGACCCACGGCTAGGCGCCCTGGACCCACGGCTAGGCGCCCTGGACCTCAGTTTTTGTCTACATGAACGATTGATCTCTTATTCCTCTAATTATCTGCTACATTTGTATACAGGTTGTAGATTTGTATACAGGTTGTAGATTTGTATACAGGTTGTACATTTGTATACAGGTTGTAGATTTGTATACAGGTTGTAGATTTGTATACAGGTTGTAGATTTGTATACAGGTTGTAGATTTGTATACAGGTTGTAGATTTGTATACAGGTTGTAGATTTGTATACAGGTTGTAGATTTGTATACAGGTTGTAGATTTGGAAATCATACCTAGGTTAAGTTGTCTACAAAATTTTTCCCCAGACATTTTCTCCGAGGAAGGGGAGGGAACTTGGAGCTACCGGAGGGAGCACTTAATATTTCCGGTGAATGGGAAAGGGGGGGGGGCGCATTGGTTAAAGAATATATTTTCAGAGATATATGAAAGAAACTCTGGTTACATCGGTGTGATAAGTTGACCATTTGAAAATGTAGCGAGTGAAATGTGGATGTGGGATAACAACAATTAAAGCTCTGAGATCAACGTGAGTTGAATGAAAGAAACTGTAAGCTCTGAAATACAATGTTGTTGAACGTTTAAAGTAATAAAAACGCATATGTAGAATTGTACAAGAAGATCTGTGGTTTGTTAAAGAAAAGTTGCAATAAGCAATATCTCGGAATGTTGACCTCTTGTATTTAAATATTTGACCAGACAGATCCCCAATTAAAACTTGACCACATGATTCTTGCAGGTACTCGAAGATTTTGTAACTTCATTAATCATTGTGAATAAGTTACATAGGAAAAGATCTTGGTTAATGTCAGATCTTTACACGAGATTAAAGACGTAATGAAACATACAGAGACCCACAGGGAGATTACAATAGAAGTAATAATCTCATCGATCTTATAATCGATAGCTGATATCAAACAAATCCAGAAACACACACCTGTCGTAGGTATAACACACCTAGGTATGGACGTCATTTTTGTAGCACACACACACACACACACCAACCCCAACGATAAAACCCACAAAACAACCCTACCAACCAACCAACCAACCCCACCAATCAACCAGCCCCACCAACCAACCCAACCCACCAACCAACCCCACCAACCAACCAAACCACCAACCATCCCCACCCACCAACCAACCAACCCCACCAACCAACCAACCAAACCACCAACCATCCCCACCCACCAACCAACCAACCCCACCAACCAACCAACCCCACCAACCCCACCAACCAACCAACCCCACCAACCCCACCCACCAACCAACCAAACCACCAACCATCCCCACCAACCAACCAACCCCACCCACCAACCAACCACCCCACCCAACAACCAACCCCACCAACCAACCCCACCAACCAATCAACCAACCCCACCAACCAACCAACCAACCAACCCCACCCACCAACCAACCCCAACAACCAACCAACCCCACCAACCAATCAACTAACCCCACCAACCAACCAACCAACCCTACCAACCCCACCAACCAATCAACCAACCCCAACAACCAACCAACCAACCCTACCAACCAACCCCACCAACCAACCAACCCCACCAACCAACCAACCAACCCCACCAACCAACCAACCCCACCCACCAACCAACCCCACCCACCAACCAATCAACTAACCCTACCAACCCCACCAACCAACCAACCAACCAACCCTACCAACCCCACCAACCAATCAACCAACCCCACCAACCAACCAACCCCACCAACCAACCAACCAACCCCACCCACCAACCAACCCCACCCACCAACCAATCAACTAACCCCACCAACCAACCCCACCAACCAACCCCACCAACCAACCAACCCCACCAACCAACCAACCCCACCAACCAACCAACCAACCCCACCAACCAACCCCACCAACCCTACCAACCCCACCAACCAACCAACCAACCCCACCAACCAACCAACCCCACCAACCAACCCCACAAACCAACCAACCCCACCAACCAACCAACCCCACCAACCAATCAACCAACCCCACCAACCAACCCCACCCACCAATCAACACCACCAACCAACCCCACCCACCAACCAATCAACTAACCCCACCAACCAACCAACCAACCCCACCAACCAACCCCACCCACCAACCAACCAACCCCACCCACCAACCAACCCCACCCACCAACCAACCCCACCCACCAATCAACACCACCAACCAACCAACCAACCAACCAACCAACCAACCCCACCCACCAATCAACACCACCAACCAACCAACCCCACCCACCAACCAACCCTACCAACCAACCCCACCAACCAACCAACCCCACCAACCAATCAACCAACCCCCACCCACCAACCCCACCCACCAACCAACCCCACCCATTAACCAACCAACCAACCCCACCAAACCACCAACCAACCAACCAACCAACCAACCCCACCCACCAACCCCACCCACCAACCAACCCCACCCACCAACCAACCAACCCCACCAAACCACCAACCAACCAACCCCACCCACCAACCAACCCCACCAACCAACCAACCCCACCCACCAACCAACCAACCCCACCCACCAACCAACCCCACCCACCAACCAACCAACCAACCAACCAACCCCACCCACCAACCCCACCCACCAACCAACCCCACCCACCAACCAACCAACCCCACCAAACCACCAACCAACCAACCCCACCCACCAACCAACCCCACCAACCAACCAACCCCACCCACCAATCAACACCACCAACCAACTAACCCCACCCACCAATCAACCAACCCCACCAACCAACCAACCCCACCAACCAACCAACCCCACCAACCAATCAACCAACCCCACCAACCAACCAACCAACCCCACCCACCAATCAACCCCACCCACCCACCAGCCCCACCAACCAACCAACAACCAAACCAACCAACCCCACCAACCAACCAACCAACCAACCCCACCCACCAATCAACCCCACCCACCAACCAACCCCACCCACCCACCAGCCCCACCAACCAACCAACAACCAAACCAACCAACCCCACCAACCAACCAACCAACCCCACCAACCAACCAACCAACCAACCAACCAACCCCACCCACCAATCAACACCACCAACCAACCAACCCCACCCACCAACCAACCCTACCAACCAACCCCACCAACCAACCAACCCCACCAACCAATCAACCAACCCCCACCCACCAACCCCACCCACCAACCAATCCCACCCATTAACCAACCAACCAACCCCACCAAACCAACCCCACCAACCAACCAACCCTACCCACCAACCCCACCCACCAACCAACCCCACCCACCAACCAACCAATCCCACCAACCAACCCAACCAACCAACCAATCCCACCCACCAACCAACCAACCAACCCACCAACCCACCAACCAACCCCACCCACAAACCAACCCCACCCACCAACCAACCCCACCCACCAACCAACCCCACAAACCAACCAACCCAACCAACCCCACCAACCAACTCCACCAACCAACCCCACCCACCAATCAACCAACCCCACCAACCAACCAACCCCACCCACCAACCAACCCCACCAACCAACCAACCCCACCCACCAACCAACCCCACCCACCAACCAACCCCACCCACCAACCAACCCCACCCACAAACCAACCCCACCCACCAACCAACCCCACAAACCAACCAACCCAACCAACCCCACCAACCAACCCCACCAACCAACCCCACCCACAAACCAACCCCACCCACCAACCAACCCCACCCACCAACCAACCCCACAAACCAACCAACCCAACCAACCCCACCAACCAACCCCACAAACCAACCCCACCCACCAACCAACCCCACCAACCAACCAACCCCACCCACCAACCAACCCCAACCACCAACCAACCCCACCCACCAACCAACCCCACCAACCAACCAACCCAACCAACCAATCAACCAACCCCACCAACCAACCAACCCAACCAACCCCACCAACCAACCCCACCCACCAACCAATCAACCAACCCCACCAACCAACCAACCCCACCCACCAACCCCACCAGCCCCACCCACCAACCCCACCCACCAACCCCACCCACCAACCCCACCCACCAACCAACCCCACTTACCAACCCCACCAACCAACCAACCCCATCAACCAACCCCACCAACCCCACCAACCCCACCAACCAACCAATGTGTAAGTAAACACCCCCCTCCCCCCATGTGTAACCAAGCCAACCATCTACCGTGTACCTGCCTGTGTAGAGAAGTTAAAAAGTTGAATCAATCGCCTCAAGGTTTACCTCCCTGCCTCAGTAGCGGCTCGCTGAAATTGATGCTAATCTTTGACTAAGGAAAGTGTTTCTCAGATTAAAGACAGTTGACAGCCTGTTTTAAAGCAGACGTCGATATCCCCCTCTGTAGGTGTACACTGTAAGACGAGAGTTAGAAAAAAAAACAGCCATCAAAAAACGACATAAACAGAATGTTATTGTCGGTGCTACAGTTTTATTTTGTTGCCATCGCGTTATGCAGACATCAGCCGTAAAAATAACGATAACTTTTTTTTACTTGCTCAAATGGTCGCCTTCTTCAATACTCGTCGGGGGTGGGATGGGGGAACAGGGGGGGGGGACAGCATCGTAGAAACTGTTAACTTGTCTTGGTATTTCTTTAAAAGAATTTTTTTTTTAAATTGTAACTTTTTATTAGAGATGATAAAAATCTTCCAGAACTAGCAGGACCCAGCATATATGTGCACGACCCCCCCCCCCTCCCCCAAGTTCTCCAGTCAGTGAAGTGAAGATTGCCACGAGCATCGTATGACATCTCACTCTGATTAGCTGGAATTGTGAGCCGGCAACTAGAGGGACAGGGAGATAACTCGAGCTAACTCTAGTGTACTTAGCACGCTTGGACACTCGTTTCTATGTGACTTGTGGCTCTTTCTTTGGATTAAAATAGCTTTAAAACAGGTCGTTGTATTTGTTCGTTTTTGTTTTGTTTTAATTTTTTCAGGTACCCAGTTGACAAACTATATATATGTTTTGGATGTTGTAGCTTATGTTGAGAAAGTCATTTTCCTTAAGGAGAATAGTATACGTAAATGAACGTTAATGAAGAAGATAAATTCTTTGAAAACTGTGCAACTAATACAAGAAGAACTGGGGCATAGCAGTGAAGTTTTTTTTTCCCTAATGCACAAGTCAGAACACTGGCTAAACTTAGATCTTTTAAATGACCGATCTAAACATCACATTGTAATATAACTTTGCTGCCCTGAGCAAATAGATTTGAGAGGTACTTTGTTGCCCCAAGCAAATAGATTTTACGGTTAATTTGCTGCCCTAATCAAATAGATTTGAGAGGTACTTTGTTGCCCTAAGCAAATAGATTTGAGAGGTACTTTGTTGCCCTAAGCAAATAGATTTGAGAGGTACTTTGTTGCCCCAAGCAAATAGATTTTACGGTTAATTTGCTGCCCTAATCAAATAGATTTGAGAGGTACTTTGTTGCCCTAAGCAAATAGATTTGAGAGGTACTTTGTTGCCCCAAGCAAATAGATTTTACGGTTAATTTGCTGCCCTAAGCAAATAGATTTGAGAGGTACTTTGTTGCCCTAAGCAAATAGATTTGAGAGGTACTTTGTTGCCCCAAGCAAATAGATTTTACGGTTAATTTGCTGCCCTAAGCAAATAGATTTGAGAGGTACTTTGTTGCCCTAAGCAAATAGATTTGAGAGGTACTTTGTTGCCCCAAGCAAATAGATTTTACGGTTAATTTGCTGCCCTAAGCAAATAGATTTGAGAGGTACTTTGTTGCCCTAAGCAAATAGATTTTACGGTTAATTTGCTGCCCTAAGCAAATAGATTTGAGGGTTAAGTATTGGTTACAATAACAAGCGTGCGTGTTACTGTTACTATAGACCAGGGGTCGGCAACCTTTTGAGCCGAAAGAGCCAAAAGTTACAATTTACAACATTACCCGGTTTTTAAAGAGCCACTAACATTTTTATGTCAGTATATATTTTTAGGATTATATATATATATATATATATATATATATATATATATATATATATATATATATATATATCATACTGTATATATAATTTAAAATAAATAGCTTTGAATACATGAAATAATCTCATTTGAATTTGTGTTGAAAGGATCTACTATGAACGTCAGAGTACTTGCATTTGTTTTGAATAGCTCAAATCTCTCACTGAAAACATCCTTCATTTTGGTCACCATCTACAGGACTAGGTCACCATCCACAGAACTAGGTCACCATCTACAGGACTAGGTCACCATCTACAGAACTAGGTCACCATCTACAGGACTGGCCAGTGTCAACCAAAAAGCAGCGCTATTCTGATCGTCAAACGTTTTTATTATTAGCCTCTTGTTTATGTTGGCCGTTTGTTAAAGATAACTTGCGTTTTTTTTCCAATGCTACTTTTTAATTTTGTTGTGACTTTGTAGTCTACAAAACTGTGGCAACTTAACTGTAACCCTAAACTGAAGCGAAAAAGGTTTACTTGCAAAAAGTTTTAATTTCTCTCCCCTACCCCCTCCCACACACACCTAAAAAACACATCATATCCTTAGAATTAATAGCGGGTGTTGATTGATCAACAAGATACTTTGATCAACTTAAAAAACTATCCGTTTAAAAAAATATTGAAGATTTACTGTATATAGGATAGGAAATAGTCAAACATTGGAGATATAACAACCCCATTTAAAAGTAAGCATATAGATCTAGATCTACACTATTTCATATGTCCACAAAAAAAGAGGTTTACAAATAGATCTATTCGTCCATTTTATCAAGATAATTAAATGTATTACGGATATTAGGGACAATTACAAAACATCTTAAGAAATTACACCCCATCCCTTCCATAGTCTTTATTATAAATCAATAAAACAAAGGCCATACGAAACAGATAATTATCCGTGTTGACAGATCAACTATAGACCTAATCAAGATCGACTTAGTCCGTGTATTAGCGGCTACAGTAAACTGTCCGGGTATTTCCGCTGTGATGACATTTAGAAAAGTGAAACACGAAGCGGGGAGAATGAACTTATCGACGTTGTAATTTATCGAGGCTGGCAGTGAAAATCGTTGCCGTGGAAAGGACGAGAGGGTGAACGTTCCCCAGTGTTAGTAGTACACATCTTGACGCGTTTAATCCTACACGGGCTATTGTGTTGTGACCATGTGTGTAGTTCAATGTTTTTTCTGATTGTCTTCCCGTGTAGATATGTTTGAGATGGCGCACGGCCAGGAAGAAGGAGATTTGAACAACTACTTGTTTTCATGGATGGATTCGGTTACCCACTCGACCACAGGTAGGCCCCAATGTTTGTTAGAGGCTCGTGTGTTAGATCTGTTGTTTAGATTCGTGTCTATGAGTTATTAACAGCTACAACGCGATGAACAGTTAGATTATATCGGTATTATATGAGCATGTGTGTTGCTAGTGCTAAAAATAGATGGCCTATTTATTTAGCAATGGCAGTCGATAGTCGCAGTTGACAATAAGAAGTGGGGGAAGAGTGGGTGTGGAGAGAGATAACACACAGCCACAAATATTTCAAGAGAGTGTTTCAGTGGTAGAGATTTTAAAGTAGCAGCTTTAAGTTAATGGTCTTGTTATTTGAGTCAGTTTTGGTTATTGAGGTCGATAATTCAATATCCGCGACCGTGTTCGTGTGGCCTTTCATGTTACTGGACGTGTAACACAACCTCCCTCTTGTTACACAACCTCCCTCTTGTTACACAACCTCCCTCTTGTTACACAACCTCCCTCTTGTTACACAACCTCCCTCTTGTTACACAACCTCCCTCTTGTTACACAACCTCCCTCTTGTTACACAACCTCCCTCTTGTTACACAAACTCCCTCTTGTTACACAACCTCCCTCTTGTTACACAACCTCCCTCTTGTTACACAACCTCCCTCTTGTTACACAACCTCCCTCTTGTTACATAAACTCCCTCTTATTATGTTACACAACCTCCCTCTTGTTACACCGCCTCCCTCTTTAAACCACCACCCTCTTTAAACCACCACATCCCTCCCCCTTAAACACAAACATACTTGATCGTCGTTCACCCGCCCCTCAACAACAGTGTGAAATTGTTAGTCATGTACTGCTCACATATTTTGTTTCTATTTCTGTACACATGCACGCTTCTCCTCTCTCCTCCTATATTCCTCCCATCAACACACCCCCTCCCTTATCCCTCCCATCAACACACCCTCCCCTCCCATATCCCTCCCATCAACACACCCCCTCCCTTATCCCTCACATCAACACACCCTCCCCTCCCATATCCCTCCCATCAACACACCCTCCCCTCCCATATCCCTCCCATCAACACACCCTCCCCTCCCGTATTCCTCCCATCAACACACCCTCCTCCCATCAACACACCCTCCTCCCGTATCCCTCCCATCAACACACCCTCCTCCCGTATCCCTCCCATCAACACACCCTCCTCCCATATCCTTCCCATCAACACACCCTCCTCCCATATCCTTCCCATCAACACACCCTCCTCCCATATCCCTCCCATATCCCTCCCATCAACACACCCTCCTCCCATATCCCTCCCATCAACACACCCTCCTCCCATATCCCTCCCATATCCCTCCCATCAACACACCCTCCTCCCATATCCCTCCCATCAACACACCCTCCTCCCATCAACACACCCCCTCCCTTATCCCTCCCATCAACACACCCTCCTCCCATATCCCTCCCATCAACACACCCTCCTCCCATATCCCTCCCATCAACACACCCTCCTCCCATATCCCTCCCATCAACACACCCTCCTCCCATCAACACACCCCCTCCCTTATCCCTCCCATCAACACACCCTCCTCCCATATCCCTCCCATATCCCTCCCATCAACACACCCTCCTCCTATATCCCTCCCATCAACACACCCTCCTCCTATATCCCTCCCATCAACACACCCTCCTCCCATATCCCTCCCATCAACACACCCTCCTCCCATATCCCTCCCATCAACACACCCTCCTCCTATATCCCTCCCATCAACACACCCTCCTCCTATATCCCTCCCATCAACACACCCTCCTCCTATATCCCTCCCATCAACACACCCTCCTCCCATATCCCTCCCATCAACACACCCTCCTCCTATATCCCTCCCATCAACACACCCTCCTCCTATATCCCTCCCATCAACACACCCTCCTCCCATATCCCTCCCATCAACACACCCTCCTCCTATATCCCTCCCATCAACACACCCTCCTCCCATATCCCTCCCATCAACACACCCTCCTCCTATATCCCTCCCATCAACACACCCTCCTCCTATATCCCTCCCATCAACACACCCTCCTCCCATATCCCTCCCATCAACACACCCTCCTCCTATATCCCTCCCATCAACACACCCTCCTCCTATATCCCTCCCATCAACACACCCTCCTCCTATATCCCTCCCATCAACACACCCTCCTCCCATATCCCTCCCATCAACACACCCTCCTCCTATATCCCTCCCATCAACACACCCTCCTCCTATATCCCTCCCATTAACACAGCATAACGTCGCCTCCTATCCCGTACATCAAACACGAGTGACCCGGAGAAGTGAAAGGATCAGCTATGGTAACGTAAAGTCAACAAGAGATGACTGTAGGGAAAGGAAGAAAATATATCTAGATCAGTCGCCTACTTGTGCAGTTACTAATCTATACAACATACAGGAAGGGGGGGGGGTCATTGTGTTGTGTTGTAAGGGTAGTGGACGGTGTGAGTCTAAGATATTACCCCCCCCTGGATTATATCCAGCTCCCCATCCCTAACACTAATCCTAACCCTACGGTTATCCTTAACCTATCTCTATTCGTATCTGTATCTCTAAATGTTTTGGCTGAGTGGGGGGGGGGGGGGGGGGGGGTAATGTATGTCATCCTGCAGTTGTTTTAGACGAGGGTGGGAAATGTACATCTGGTCATCCTAGCTGGAGTAGGGGGGGGGGGTGAAGGTCCAGGTCGATATAGGTATATAAGGTGACTCTGCCTTTGATTCTCAGTTTTCGTTTTGTGAAGTATCTCCAGTTTACAGGTGCTGAAATTAACGAATTGACACATCATATGCTACAAATGGCTTACAAATTGTTAATAAATGTCGCTGTGGGCGATTACGTTCAATACCGTTTAAATTGAACAAATGGCTGCATTAATTTCTTGGCCAAGACCAAAGCAACAGTCTGATGATACTTTTTGAACAAGCAACGCAACTGAACATCTGCTGTGTTGTGTAATTCATTGAAAAGAAAAATGTCTTAAACTATTATAATCAACACAAGTGTGTGTCGTATTGACCAGGTGAGGGGGCGGGGCATATTTGTTTTGGTATGACAAAGTGGTTTCTAAGTTTGTATACACCATAAGTGGGGTGGTACGTAAACTTTTTATAACCTCGTCACAACCTAAACACCACCAACACATCTTAGCACCATTAACACATCACCAACACATCTTAGCACCATCAACACATCACCTACACATCTTAACACCATCTACACATCACTTACACATCTTAGCCCCACCAACACATCTTAACACCACCTACACATCACACCTAACCCTAACCCTATCATCAACTAAACATCTTATCACCACCTACACATCATCTACACATATGAATACCATCAACACATCACATACACATCACCTACATATGTTATCACCACCTACACATCACATACACATCTTAATACCATCTACACATCACATACACATCTTATCACCACCTACACATCACATACACATCTTAATACCATCTACACATCACATACACATCTTATCACCACCTACACATCACATACACATCTTAATACCATCTACACATCACATACACATCTTATCACCACCTACACATCACATACACATCTTAATACCATCTACACATCACATACACATCTTATCACCATCTACACATCACATACACATCTTATCACCATCTACACATCACATACACATCTTATCACCATCTACACATCACATACACATCACCTACACATCACATCACCACCAACACATGGCGACCACAGCATGCCCCCCCCCCCCCCACCAGTTACACTGTCGGCCTATACGAGATGTAGCTTTAAAACTTCAAAGATTGCCGAGCCAGTGTAATCATACCCTCTTTAGAATAATGAGTGCTCTAAAAGAGTATTGCTAACTTAATAGCTGCCTAATTAATGGCCGCTAACTTAATGACCACTTAATTAATGGTTGCCAAGCAATAAGAATGGAGCAGACGTGGATGTAAAATCGCGTGACGTCATTTATATACGTCAGCTAAGAATAAGACTTTTGTCCAAAAGTTGTTTTTAAATATTTTTTTAGCTGCTTAGCAATGAACCTAATGTTTCTTAAACTCGAATCTTGGTCTTTATGTGACTTGACCATATTAGAGTATATCACGTAGGCCCATGTGTCACGTAATTGTATATTTTATATCGTACACTAGCTGTCGTGTTTGCAGTGGCGTTACTAGTCGGGGGCGGAGGGTGCGGTCCCCAAAGGGTGACACTGTTCAGGGGTTGGCACCAGGATGAGAATCCGTACAATTTACTTTCAAAATAATATTTTATCAGATAAAATAAAAAATAGTACGGGGAGAGGGGTGTCTGACTTTATATTTTGTTCTAGCTTTAGCTGTTCTGTCTGACTTTATATTTTGTTCTAGCTTTAGCTGTTCTGTCTGACTTTATATTTTGTTCTAGCTTTAGCTGTTGTGTCTGACTTTATATTTTGTTCTAGCTTTAGCTGTTGTGTCTGACTTTATATTTTGTTCTAGCTTTAGCTGTTGTGTCTGACTTTATATTTTGTTCTAGCTTTAGCTGTTCTGTCTGACTTTATATTTTGTTCTAGCTTTAGCTGTTCTGTCTGACTTTATATTTTGTTCTAGCTTTAGCTGTTCTGTCTGACTTTATATTTTGTTCTAGCTTCAGCTGTTGTTGACTTTATATTTTGTTCTAGCTTTAGCTGTTCTGTCTGACTTTATATTTTGTTCTAGCTTTAGCTGTTGTGCCTGACTATATTTTTGTTCTACTTCCAGGTCTAGCTATAATGACGGTTGTTGTTTTCCTACTTTCGGTTATGCTTGAGAGCATGAACGCTGGGACGAAACGGCTGAGGTCAAGGCCGCTCTTCTGGATCAGGTCTGGTCACTTCGTATGTTCTTAGATTCCAGGGAGTTGGTGCGGGCTTGTATGTGAGGAGCAGAGTTTCTTCCAGGCATCTCTTCGCCCCCCCGAAAAATTTTTACCGCCCCCCCGAACGAAATGAAATTTATATATTTTATAACAGTGTCCGCCCCCCCGAAGAAAGTTTACCGCCCCCCCGAAGATTTCAAGCGCCCCCCCCCCCGGAGAAAAAAGTCTGGAAGAAACACTGGTGAGGAGTTGGTGTGGGTTTGTATGTGAGGAGTTGGTGTGGGCTTGTATGTGAGGAGTTGGTGTGGGCTTATATGTGAGGAGTTGGTGTGGGCTTGTATGTGAGGAGTTGGTGTGGGCTTGTATGTGAGGAGTTGGTGTGGGCTTGTATGTGAGGAGTTGATGTGGGCTTGTATGTGAGGAGTTGATGTGGGCTTGTATGTGAGGAGTTGGTGTGGGCTTGTATGTGAGATGATAGTGCAACTGATTTGAAGCATATTGTTCCCTAGCAATCTCATAACGTGTATGACGTCACTATACTAATGTGAGGCCACGACTGTCTCCCCAGGTCACGAGCTGTGACGTCAGCCCTCCACAACCTCCTGGCCACCCTGGTTCACGCCGTGTCCGTGTCCCTGATGTTTCTGCTCATGCTGGTCTTTATGACGTTAAACCCCTGGCTGTGTTCGGCCATCATCCTGGGCGCTATAGTCGGATATTTGTTGTTTAACTGGAGCACGACATGGGACAGGTAAGCACGAGGGGGGGGGGGGGGGTAAGCTGTGGTATTGTGTCTAGGCTACAGTAGCAGGGGGGGGGAATAATTGTAACTTTGGCTTACAACTTGAGAGAAATTACTCAATTACTGTCATCATTTCCCGTCACTCCTACTGGAGTAGGCTTATGTGCCACCGGATACACTCTCTGTCCTGCTGGAGTATGGGCCACCAACTCCAGAGTTATCTGTCCTGCTGGAGTATGGGCCACTAACTCCAGATCTCCAGAGTTCTCTGTCCTGCTGGAGTATGGGCCACTAACTCCAGATCTCCAGAGTTCTCTGTCCTGCTGGAGTATGGGCCACTAACTCCAGATATCCAGAGTTCTCTGTCCTGCTGGAGTATGGGCCACTAACTCCAGATCTCTAGGGTTCTCTGTCCTGCTGGAGTATGAGCCACCAACTACAGCTCTCCAGAGTTCTCTGTCCTGCTGGAGTATGGGCCACCAACTACAGCTCTCCAGAGTTCTCTGCCCTGCTGGAGTATGGGCCACCAACTACAGCTCTCCAGAGTTCTCTGTCCTGCTGGAGTATGGGCCACCAACTACAGCTCTCCAGAGTTCTCTGTCCTGCTGGAGTATGGGCCACCAACTACAGCTCTCCAGAGTTCTCTGTCCTGCTAGAGTATGGGCCACCAACTACAGCTCTCCAGAGTTCTCTGTCCTGCTAGAGTATGGGCCACCAACTACAGCTCTCCAGAGTTCTCTGTCCTGCTGGAGTATGGGCCACCAACTACAGCTCTCCAGAGTTCTCTGTCCTGCTGGAGTATGGGCCACCAACTACAGCTCTCCAGAGTTCTCTGTCCTGCTGGAGTATGGGCCACCAACTACAGCTCTCCAGAGTTCTCTGTCCTGCTGGAGTATGGGCCACCAACTACAGCTCTCCAGAGTTCTCTGTCCTGCTGGAGTATGGGCCACCAACTACAGCTCTCCAGAGTTCTCTGTCCTGCTGGAGTATGGGCCACCAACTACAGCTCTCCAGAGTTCTCTGTCCTGCTGGAGTATGGGCCACCAACTACAGCTCTCCAGAGTTCTCTGTCCTGCTGGAGTATGGGCCACCAACTACAGCTCTCCTGAGTTCTCTGTCCTGCTGGAGTATGGGCCACCAACTACAGCTCTCCATGTGTGACCTATCCTTATTTAATCTGTCACGTTCTTATTGCCAGTTGTTTTGGGATAGTCTCTTTTGTACCAACCTTGAGGGCTCCATTTATTACCTTCTAGGTGGCCAACTGCACAATGTCTGCCCCACTTTTCAGTGTCTTGGCCATCTGTTCAGTACCTGGCCATCTGTCCAGTATCTGGCCAACAAATTAGGACCTCAGACAGCTGATTTTTGTAGTCAGTAAACTTGCTGGATTTCCATAAACTTTTTACTCTATGAAGGCAGCTATTGCTATCCCAACCTTTGGTCCCAATCTTACATAGTTATGTGAAATTAATGTGTACCCAGTAAGGTTAAATCAGTTACTAAGTAAACAACTAATTTCCTTTTTGATTTTCTAACACAGTGTTTTCTGTTTCTCCCTCTAGTGAGCCAATAGAAAAATATGTTCTGTCAACCAATAGATGACTAGCTGTGATTAAAGGCAACCTCCATGTTCTCCACAAGATTCGAACACAGCACTGCGGCTACACAATACTTGAACAGAATGAAAGCACACCAGGATAAAACATCCACACTGTCACACACACAAATAACAATCACACTGTCATACACACACACACAAATAATAACCACACTGTCATACACATAAATAATCATTGTATGAAACATGTTTACACATCGCCACATACACACATAACCACATACATGTAGCTGGGGGGGACATGGCTCTTTACATTCCTAAAGACAGGGTTGTTTTGTTGTACTATAATCAAACTTTTGCCCTCACTCACCTATGCCAGTCTTAACATGAGTTTTTTCAACAAGTGATATTATTTATTTATTCTACAATAGTTAATACAAAAATATAATTGAAAAATTAATTAACCTCGACTATTATTTAAAAAATAAGAAAAAAAAAATTCTATCTGTCAAAGGACGAACCCAAGGGTATATTTTTCTGATGATGGTTATTTACCATTTAACAAATTCAAATGATTTCCTATGCTATTGTATACATGATATCAGCCATATTTTTACTTCAATCAAACCACTACTGAGGTGACATCAAATATAGTTTAAGAATAATAAATTAATTATATTTATAGCCTAACTAAGTTTTAAGTATACACAGGGCCAATTTGTTTTTAAAAATCTTATTCTCTCCCCTTTGACCCCAACGTAAATACAAGGTTTCATTAGTCATGAACATTTTAAAACTTCTCATTGTTGTCCCACATTAGTTATGATTGTTTTTGTTCATTCGGCATGTATAAACCCAATAAATCTATCTATAAAGAATACTTTTGTGTTTTTTTCCAATATTTGATTAGTTACCAAGACTTATTCTGTACAGTGTAAAGTTTAAGTTGCTGATGCCATAGAAAACACTAGGTAGGAATTGTAAAAATGTCTGGTGAACCAAAATTTCCTAAAGAGATCTGAACATAATTAAAGATACATAAGTGGAACAAACCGGTTGGTGTCTCAACATTACAAAGCCCAGTTTTGAATTCAAATACTTTCTTTTTATACCTGCAATTGTTTACAAACATGTCAAACACAAGGCAGAAAGTTAATGAGCAGGGGAGACAATCTGGTGCAATGGATGTAATAAGGGACAAAACTTAATTGTTTTGACTAGTGTGTTTTATTTCTAGAGTCTAAAAAAAAATCCAGAGTTGATTTAAAACAAAAACATTCAGTTGTTAAAAATGTCAGAAATAAAATATCCAGCTTTGAACAGGCACATCTCCTGCAGACAGACAGGGAAACAAATGTTCACATCTTATGTTCCACATTTAGCAGGACAGTTTTACAATGATATCATCACATGGGAAACAAATGTTCATATCTTATGTTCCACATTTAGCAGGACAGTTTTACAATGACATCACATGGGAAACAAATGTTCATATCTTATGTTCCACATTTAGCAGGACAGTTTTACAATGACATCACATGGGAAACAAATGTTCATATCTTATGTTCCACATTTAGCAGGACAGTTTTACAATGATATCAACACATGGGAAACAAATGTTCATATCTTATGTTCCACATTTAGCAGGACAGTTTTACAATGACATCATCACACTCTCCCCACACAGACGTGAGTAAATGCCCAGGTGTTGACCCAGTAAATGCTGTCAGAAGTGGGTCACGCATCAATTAATGTACAAATAAGAGATCCATGTGGCCAAAACAGCAACCATACAAACTAGAGCAGCACCTGAAGAACAAGAAAATATTTGCAACACACCATTGGTTATTTTAAAAGCTACACACCATTGGTTATTTTAAAAGCTACACGCCTTAGGACAAATTGTTTTACCTAAATAAGCTTTGGCCATGGTTTTCTTATCTGGCTGTGGCACGACCAAGGATTGGTGACTGCTCATACAAGATAATGAGGAGGGGCAGCTCCAGGTGTCATCATCGGCTAAAACATTTATCAAATTTTATTCTGCTGATCAAATGGTAATATTAGTATAATCAACTTTTCTGGACTACCTTGATGTTTAGTTTTGTGTAAAACAAAATTTAAACAATTAAAGCCTATCAAAAACTTAATAACAAATAATAGAAGCTCTAACAAAATTTCTAAATAAAAGTTATTTTTAAAAATGATGAGTCAGCTAAAAAAAAAAAACCTGAACCGTCAAATGTGTGAGGAGCAACTAGTGTTTGTTATACAATTAATCACCTGCACTTTTCTCCGTCTCCTCAAGATCCTCTACCTCCACATCCAACAGTTCCTTGATCCTATCCCGCACTTCTTCTTGTTTCTCATCCTGAAAGACGTAATCACAAACCTGCACGTCACAGTGCGGCAGCTGACAGAACAAGCGTACAGGAGGGTCGTACACATCACTGCCTTGTTTACCTTCTGTCACATTAAATTCTTCACACAAAAGTTCACAGCGAGCCATCAAACTACGGATCACATCCATCTTAATAGCCTGAAAGTAAAAACATTAAATTCTTCACACAAAAGCTCACAGCGAGCCATCAAACTACGGATCACATCCATCTTAATAGCCTGAAAGTAAAAACATCAAATTAATCATCACATCCTAACCAACTAAACTGATAACAGTTATTTTATGTTGAGTAAAGTGACTGACATAACGTTTAATTAACAGCAAACGTGATAAGGAGCAACAAACCTCAACAGCATCCCCTACAGTAGCTTTAGCCGAGACAAAAGCTCGGACTATTGTTGTACCCATCATGTTGATTGTAGCCTGGGAGGAAACTGTAACAGGGTCTGATGAGGTTTCTGGACGAAGCTAGTATAAAAATAATTTCTATTACAAAGTAGTTCTTTTAATTAATGAGTAATTTAATAAAAATTACACTTACAAGTTATTATGTACTTAAAAACTTACAAATGGTAAATAAATAGCAACGTCTTGTGTTAGCTTTAAGTCAGTGTTACTTCCTTTACCGCCTTTTCCTCTTTTCTCTTGAATGAGTGGCTCAGATGGATCTCTGATGGAGTCACCTATCACCACTATACTTCTTTTCACTGTATCACAAAACTCAACAAGGCCCAGCTTAAATATACAACATAAAAGTTGCTTTTTAGAATTGTAAATGTAATGAACATCATTAGCAGGAGTAGCCTATAATGTCTGATTTTAGCAATATCTGATTTTAGAATTGGTAGCATATAATTACCTGAATTTGTTTTAAAAGTGATTGTGACTTGCTTTCAACAGGAACTGTAATTGGAATGTCAAGGTTAATTTGGGAAGTGAGTTTAATCCACTTGCTATCTCCTGTTTGATATTTCCATTCAGCTGGTCTCATAGCACTCTGAAACAGCACAGTCAGCAAAGAAATTAATAGATTGAATACTATAATACTAGCTTTTAAATATAAATATTCAACCAACGTTAAAGAAAAATGTAATAAAAAATGTAACAGCTTTAGATAACAATAAAATGAACAAAGATAGAATTTTCAAACCCTCCGGTAAAAGGTAAAAAAAAAACTTTAAATCAACAAACGAGTAAATCAAATATCTCACCTTTATGTCTGCAGCGTCAACAGTAACACAAGTCAACCTAGAAAAAGATTTGTACAAATTTAAGTGCAAAGGTTTGAATTTTTCAGCTTTTGTTTTGTAATGCTAATTATCTCATTTGAACATAAAATGTTTGTATTTTCAAATTATTTCTAAAAGTAAAAATAAGTAACTAATCGGTTATTTACTAGTAAAATGTACACTTTGTTTCTATGCAATTAAAGTGATATTTTAAAATGAACAACATTAGAAAGATTAGACATAGATTCAGTAGATTTATTGATTGAATCCAATCTAGCATCAATGAAGTGTTTATATGTAGAAAAATAGAACAAAATGAAGAGCTAAAATGGCAGTTTACACTTTTGTTTGCCTTGTAAGCTTTGGTTATTCACTAAAGAACAAAATAGCAGAAGAATCCACAACACAGAAAAACTTACTTCTTACTTGAAGTGTCCATCTGTAAAAGAATTCTTTCTGTTATTTCCCCAGCAATAGTGAGAACAGAATTTCTAGTTAGTTGCTTGTAAACACTGTGCAGCATCTTGATACAGAATAAAAATAAAGTGAGTGTAATAGATGAGATAGCAAAAAATACTTTTTTTTTATAAAATTAAACATCCGAATTTTTTGATGGTTAGCAGTTTAGATAAAACAAGAAAAATCATTTTAAAAAGCATTTTATGTTACAAAACCTGTTTAAGTTTGCTTTGAGCATTTTTTAACATCACTGGTGGGGCAATTGCAAAGAGACCAATAACACTGAGTCCACCAGGCAGCATTCGAGAAACCTGAAACAAATGGTCAGAAATTTTCTTATCTTGTAAACATAATTCACAATGCTAGGAAGATTATTAATGTTGAAATAATTGTGTAATTACAATAGTATAATACTGAAAGTAAATCTGGAGGTTCAACAAACACTTGAATGCAAGCGGACCATCAAGCCATAATAACATGAGCAGCATTTCATTCAATTGTTTTGCAAGATGGGCTGAGTTAAAATAATACCTGCTTAGCATGGGTAGACACCCATTTTTCATCAAGCTGATCCATTGACACTGGGTGCTCAAGAGCTGGATTTTTCTTCTTTGTTTTAATGCTGTCGCCAGATTCATCATCACCATTCTCCTCGCTGACCTCATCTTCTACTGGATCTGGTGTACGAGCTATGTGCACAACATAATCACGCTGGGCTGTCAGCTAAAACAATATAAAAACATTAGGCCTACAATATTAATTATTTCTAGACCTAGATTCTAAATTTACATACAACACTCGTAATCAATCAACTAAAATCAATTTGTTTAGTTGAAGACCTTTTTCCTCGCACATTTAAAAAAAAACCCAGCATAATACGGCCATAATAAAAAACAGTGAAATAAAAAAAGTGTCTTGTAATTTAACATGGTATTCAAGTAAGCTACTGTTACTGCACTATCATGTATGCTTATGACTCACAATTTTTTGCCAATGTTGTTTTGCATTTTCCGAAGATCTTCTAGATTCTAGATCTACATCTACTCTACTCCTCTGGCAGCCTATCTGCTAGCTAGAATCTTCTACTTTCTACTACACACACACTAGGGTATGCCTTAGTATTAGTAATCAGTTATCACTAAATCAAATTTTTATTGAAGACTAAGAAAAAGTAAGAAGACTAAATCTAGTAGATCTAGATCTAAATCTAGATCCTATATTGATCTACTCAACTAATTCTAAGAAATGTGTTGTGCCTAAAAAAATTAATAAAAAAAAAAAAGGGTAATCTATCGTTTTGGGTACGTAAAATCGCCCGCAATTTGTAATGTGAAAAACAGGTGACTCCTTAAATTTTAATAATTATTTCACATTTTGAGGAGGATTTATGTATTAAAAAATTCAAAAATGTTTCCTTGATTCATTTATGTACCTGTTTTTAAACAATTGAATTAAAACTTTTCCGTAATAAATGAAGACTAGCGATGTTTCCAACAGATGCAACCATGCTCTTTTACTATAACAGCCATCTTGTCTAAGTTTTATTTTTATAAGCTTTTAGCGCCAGATTCAGGGGGAAGCCACTCTATTTTACAAATGGCTGCTGTTTATATAGCAAATCTTGCTCTCAGACACTGCTGTTTAAAGTTAATTTCTGGCCTATATCGATATATTTAGCCATTGATTTAGGTTTATTATTCATTTATCTATAATATTTGACACAAAAGTATGACAATATACTTCTATTAAAGCCTTGACAATGAGGTAACGTTTTCGTACATAAATAGCCGCGGGCGATTTTACGTACCCAAAACGATAGATTACCAAAAAAAGCCTTTCCGTACCTGTCCGATTATTACACCAACAAACCATTTGTTTTCTTTTAGAAGTTTTCCAATATATTTTTCTACCCCTTCGTCTGCAATAATGGATCTACCCATCTTTAAACTAACGAACACATCTAGATCAACTAGAATCTAGATTTGCTATAAACTAAACTATTCAATCATATGTCACAGCTTACAGTGGCATACACTGTGTGTTTGTTTGTACACAGGAACCACATACGACACAAAGTGTGGACAAACAAAAGATGGAAATCTAATTACCGCAACATTTACAGTTTAAAAAAAATTAAAGTAGTCTATTTTGATTTGCTACAAGACCGCTTAAACTCCGCTTAAACACAACTTTGTAACAGATTTATCACCAATAAGGAAAATCATGCCATACTCATAGGGGGAGAGGGGGGGGTGAGTGTGGGTGGAGTGGGGGGGGGGGGGGTGTGGCAGAAAGTGTGACGATACACTTAAAGTGGATGTAAACTTTGTTGAGACGATATGTGACGACGGGGAGGGGTGTTTTAGTGACAAGTTAAATTATTATTACTTGTGTTATATATATATATATATATATATATATATATATATATATATATATATATATATATATATATATATATATATATATATATATAAAACACAAGTAATAATAATTTAACTTATAATTTATTTATTAATTATAATTATTAATTTATTTATACTTATAATAATTTATATATATATATATATATATATATATATATATATATATATATATATATATATATATATATATATATATATATATATATATATATATATATATATATATATATATACATATACATACATACAGCCTATAAACAGATATTGGGTGCTTAAATATTCTTAGGTTAAATTATTTGCGACAGAAGTATATGTAGGCTCAGAGGCGTAGCGACCGTTCCCGGCGCCCAGGGACAAACTTTCGATTTGCCCCCCCCCCCCCTTTCGAACTTTCGATTTGCACCCCCTCGAACTTTTCGTTTGCAGCCCCCCTCAAACTTTCAATTTGTTTTTCCAACCCATTTTGCCCCCCCCCCAGAGGCGTAGCGATGGGGGGGCAGGGGGGTACATATGTCCCCGGGCGCCGACCTTAGGGGGCGCCAAAATGGGTTGTAAAAACAAATTAAAATGTCATTTTAGCTGCATTTTTGCATTATAAACAGTTTGAGGGGGGTGCAAATCGACTTTGCTCCCGAGGGGGGCGCCAAATTGAAATTTTGTACCCGGGCGCAGGGAAGGTTCGCTACGCCTCTGCCCCCCCCAAGGTCGGCGACCTGGGACATGTGTCCGTCCTCCCCAGCCCCCCCCCCCCTTTCGCTACGCCTCTGTGTCGGCTTGATCCTGTTGTACCAGTACCTTCCCATTTCCCCTCAGTCACACATCGTCACAAAAACCTAGACACCCCCCCCCCCCCAAATAACATCACACCTCAGCCTACACCCCCTACCCTTTCTCAAAATTGCAGTTGACATTTTCTGAAAACATCAATATTTTTTCAAAATCTTGTCTGAACTCTGTCAACATAGAGTATTTTAGTCAATTCCTATTACAATTTTTAAAACGCGAAGTAACGGCTAAAACTGGTTTTCTAACATTGCTTTTTATAATGCAAAAGTGTGACGTCAAAATACACTATTGTCCAAATTGTTCTAACAACACGACATGTGTATATATATATATATATATACGAGAAAAATGGCCCGTTGAGGAAGGGTACAACGGGCGCTAGGCTGATAGTGCTGTCTCCTTTCTCTAAACTAAAACCAACCCACCCCCCACACACCACCCCCACCCCCCCACCCCCACACACCACCCCCACCCCCCCACCACACCCCCCCACCCCCACCCTCACACACCACCCCCCACCCCCACCCCACCCCCCCACACACACCACCCCCTCCACACACCGCCCCCCACCCGCCCACCCCCCCTCCACCCACCCACCCCCCCCCCCCCCCAAAAACATGTCTACCGTCCCATTCAACGAAATATAATTATATACTTTTTCTAGTGTCCGCCCCCTCCCAGAAAATTCTACCCCCGCCCCCGAAAATTTCAAGTACCCCCACCCCTCTCCGGGGAGGAAAAAGTCTCAAAGAAACACTGAAACCAACCCACCCCCCACACACCACCCCCCACCCCCACACACCACCCCCCACCCCCACCCCACACACACACACACCACCCCCCCACCCCTCCAACCCCCCCCCCCCCCCCCCGAAAAAAAACATGTCTACCGTCCCATTCAACGAAATATAATTATATACTTTTTCCAGTGTCCGCCCCCTCCCCGAAAATTCTACCCCCGCCCCCGTAAATTTCAAGTACCCCCACCCCTCTCCGGGAGGAAAAAGTCTGAAAGAAACACTGAAACCAACCCACTCCCCCCCCACACACCACCCCCACCCCCCACCCCGACACCCCCCCACACACACACCACAAATTAGGAACGGGACATGGTGTTCTAAAACAACTGTATGCTAGAAGTGAGTTTTCAATTCTTCACGAAAAACTGCTCTTATTATCGTCAGTTGGCACTGAGGAAAAATCACTACGAACCATCGCATCTTCATCGCATCTTTACAATCATTGACTGGGGGCCAAGGCTACACTCGCTGCAATTGCACAACCAAGTGTACAACAAATCGCTGCAAGTGTAAAAATAACAAGCTGCTATGTAATTCTAAATGCCATAAAAGTTCAACTTGTTGTAACAAATAATAATATTGATTGATTGAGACTATAGTACAATAAAAAATGTGAATGTTTCTGTCATTTACTTTAATTAATAATCAATAAAGACTTAATTTCATGATCCTACCGGCATAAAAAAAACCAAAATCTGCTCATGTTCTTCTAATTAAGACTTTGGCCGGTCCACCATGGCCAGTCCGCGGACTGGCCGGCCAAAGGCCGAAATCAAGAGCTATTTCAGACTTTGGCTGGTCCACAATGGCCAGTCTGCGGATTGGCCGGCCAAAGGCCGAAATGAAGCAAAGTTTCGGACTTTGACCGACCTATGGGAGGCGATATTGGCCAATGCGCGGATTGGCCGGCCAATCCTAGCATTGGCCGACTTCGGGCTTTGACCGTAACATATATATATATATATATATATATGTTACGGTCAAAGCCCGAAGTGCGGCCAAAGCTAGGATTGGCCGGCCAATCCGCGGATTGGCCGGCTCTCTTGGCCAAAGCCCGAAGAACTTAGAACTAAGATCGTATTTCGTACATTGGCCGGCCAATGCGCGCACTGGCCGGGACGTACTGGCCAAAGTCCGAAGAGCTTAAACTTGACAGCGTATTTTGTACATTGGCCGGCCAATGCGCGCACTGGCTGGGATGTCCTGGCCAATGTTCTATCTAGACTAAGTTGTGATCGCATTTTCATTATTCTGGGTGCGTTTTCATTGAGAGTAACGTATTGTTTAGCTCTTGTTTGTATAGCATTCTATATGCAAGGCGACATGGATCAAAAGGGCCGTCAGACCATGAGACAGACATAGCAGATGGCTGTCAAAAGAAAAAAATGTAAATCCATGTTAGTTTCCATATATGGGCTCTCGATAAAATAGTTACTGAGGAAGATCTTGAGAACATTGAACAAGAAATAGAGGTTGCCATAAATGCAACGACATCCTCAGCTAACACATCTACTGCCGTGGCGGAACGTCCAGACCAGTTGCGTGACAATATTGTGGCCAACCGATTCTGTATAGTTTGTGAAAAACATTGTAGTGCAGCTCATTCTTTTGGATCCTGTGGCAACGATGTCCTTGCTATTTGTGGAATACCCAATGAAGCAGACGAAGGGTACGGAGGGAACATTACCTTCAGATTGTGTCACAACAAACAAGACATCATGGAACACAGATCAGCAGCTCATACTGGCTTGCAAACTCAAGGTGCTAAGATGCTTAAAACATCAAATAAAAATTTAAAGATGATGAAGTGGGTGACAATGGTGTTCTAAAACAAATATATTCTAGAAGTGAGTTTTCAATTATTCACGAAAAACTGCTCATAAAGTCGTCAGTTGGCACTGAGGAAAAATCTCTACGAACCATCGAATCTTCACAATCATTGACTGGGGGCCAAGGCTACACTCGCAGCAATTGCACAATTAAGTGCACAACAAATCGCTTCAAGTGTAAAAATAACAAGCTGCTATGTAATTCTAAATGCCATAAAAGTTCAACTCGTTGTAACAAATGATGATATTGATAGATTGAGACTATAGTACAATAAAAAATTTGAATATTTCTGTCATTTACTGTAATTAATAATCAATAAAGACTTAATTTCATGATCCTTACTGCATAAAAAGCCAAAATCTGCTCATGATCTTCTAATTAGGACTTTGGCCGGTCGTCCCTAGCCAGATGATCTTCTAATTAAAACTTTGGCCGGTACACCATGGCCAGTCCGCGAACTGGCCGGCCAAAGGCCGAAATGAAGAGCTATTTCAGACTTTGGCCGGTCCACATTGGCCAGTCTGCGGATTGGCCGGCCAAAGGCCGAAATCAAGCAAAGTTTCGGACTTTGACCTACCTATGGGAGGCGATATTGGCCAATGCGCGGATTGGCCGGCCAATCCTAGCATTGGCCGACTTCGGGCTTTGACCGTAACATATATATATATATATATATATATATATATATATATTGGGGGGGGGGGAGGGCCTGTTCATCACACAGTCACAAAATTACGGACCCCCTCCCCCCTACGAGTGTAACGTCATTTATGGACGACCCTTATACTATACAATATAATGTGTCGGCATAATTGTTTACATTATTAATAAACGACTGCTATAGTTATAATTTAATTAAATGTGTCTAACTATTTGAACAGTATATTTATTTTTTCAGGGTAAGGAGACATTTTAAAAATTGCAGTGGATTGGGGTTTTCATTTTACCTGTTGATCTAATTATAGATATATAATATATGATTGATATTCTATATGTTCGATTTCTTCCACACAAACAATTACAACAACTTGTTTTCTTCTAATTTAATTTTGCCAAAACCATCATATGCTTAGCTGGCATTTATAATCGGTAACAAGGTACTCCGCAGTAAATAATTTTGTAAACAACATGGCTGACACTGGAGTGTTTATGTCTTATTAAATTGTTGAAGTTTCGCTTACATTCATTGAAATTACAAAACCCCTTATTTTGCATAACTGCCCTTAAGACACTAAAAACGGTTTCGCTGCAGATTAATTTCTTTGATATTATTAAGCTTTCTGAATATATTAAGGCTTACATCTTAATGGTTGGAGATCTCAGATTCTGATCTGAGAACAAGTTTGTACAAGACAAAAAAAATATGAAAATATTATGGTTTCGTATTGCTTTAGACTTTAGATCTATGAGCTGCTAAAGAAAGTAACAGAAGATTCATGTTCAACATTATAGGTATGTTAACTAGGCCTGCTTTGATTTTCACAGACAATCATTATCAATTAATTAGACTTCTTATTAGACCTACAATAAACTACACAACACTACTACTACTACACTTAGTTTAAATGCAAAAAAAAAAAAAAAAAAAAAAAACAAACAACAAACAAAACAAACAAACAAAAAATTAAATTAAAGAATTTTAAAACTTGTTTCCTATCATGGCAGTAGGGTGTACAATACATTTATTTATAAAAAGTTCTCAATTAAGCTTTTTTCTTCTGATATTGACCTGATATGTATTGTCGAATTAATAATGATAATTCAAGTAAAGTATGGACCTAGTAAAATAAAATGTAGTCTAAAATAATATTTAATCAAATGGTAATCCCAAAAATCTTTTTTTTTTTTTTTCAGAGTTTTAAACAGCCATGAATCGTAAAGGAGGCAAGTCTACTCAGTCTAATCTTCCAATTGCTACTTTTTCACGTGGCAATCCTGCTAATGGAGCTGCCATATCAGATGAAGCCAACAGCACTTCTAACTTAAAATTAACAAAGTCTGCTGAAGATATTCCAAAACAAGTAATTTTTTAATGTTTGATGTGTTTATTAAGACCACTGAAAGTAATTTAACTTGCATTTGTTAAAGCAAATATAAATTGCGTTTTTTTTTTAAATTCCCAGATTGGCTCAAGTATCAGCCTTGTTGGTGGACCCAGGGGTCATGCTGGACCTACTGGTATTAGAAGAGCAGTGTCTCCTGGGGAATTTAGGCGGAGGTCGCTGCTTTCTTCTGTTCGACCTCGCTCACAAGCATCAGGTAAAATTACGCTTTCTCATATTTTCAGTAAACTTAAATTTTACTGTGTCAGATATTATTATTATTGGGTTTATGTTTTGCAATATTTAAGAGTTGAGAATTGATTTGACTCCATTGAAAAACTTTGAATTCTTCAGTACCCAGTCAACACCCAGGAGTAAGATACATTACAGAAGATTTGATTAAAAAAATAGCAAAGGAAGAGAACTTTGAACTCATTGTATCTTTGAATTTGACTCTTAGTAAAGAAGGAGGAAAAAAGATAAAAGTAAGTAAACCTTAACTATTTTGAAAACTGCTACTGGGGGAACTCAATTACATAGGAACACAGTTTAGCTTCCCCTATAACAGTAAATCCATCCACAACAGATACTCTCTACTGGCAAAGTAACAGTCATAATAGTTTTTAACAATTCTCTAACAGTTCCTCTTTATCGTCATCCTGTTGTTTTTATACTATCTTTCAAATAACTCACCAGAAAGTGTGGAAAATATACATCTACAATTCATTCTAAAAGAAGTCCAATCAGTCACTGCCAAGTGTGGTCACTCTCAATCACTGTATGCTGCTGTATTTAAACAAAACTTGGAACACATAAATAATGAGTACCTCTTTCAAACCATACAGTCTATTGGGCAGATTGAAGTAGAATCCATCTGCATACAAGTGGATAGTGTGGTTAGCACTGTGTCCAGCCATCTCTATTTTTTTTACTGGACATAAACACATGAATGGTACATCTAAAACAGCTGTTTGAAGATAATAGGATAATTTTTTATGTTATAATTTATTTCTGTCCTTAGGTTGATGCCTAGAACAAAGCACACGCATTTTTATATAATAATGAAAGCAAGAAAACCAAACTTTCTTTAATAATCTTTAGTGTTTTGCTGTTATGTATAGAATGAGAAATTAGTTATTTTTAGTTAGAATACTTTAATTTAAGAGGTTTTTTCTTGTTCAGCATTTAATATTCTTCTAATCAATATTTTATTTTATGCAATTGTTTAATTCCAGTATATTGAAAACTTGGACAGACTTAGAAAACTTCAGATATTAAATTTGAGCTACAACTTTATTGAGAAGATGGAGCGTCTTGATAAACTGCTCCGTCTTCAGGATTTGAACCTGTCACATAACATGATAACCAAAATTGAGGGCATAGAGAATCTGGGCCTACTCCAGACACTTAATCTAAATGATAATAAAATTGAACATATTCCCAAATGGTTTTCTAAAAAGTTGAAATCTCTCAGAGTTTTTAAAATTGCAAGAAATAAATTGACTTCAGTAAGTAAAATACATTACCTTAGTCATATTCAATAAGCACATTTTGTCAGCACACTAAGTTATATTGTGAAATTTGCTAAATCTTATTTAAAGAAAATTTAATTTGGTTCAAAACTCTTTTATCTTGTGCTTGAAATTTAAAAAAAAAAATTAAACTGCTAGTAGAGTTTTAATTTTCCATTCATAAATCCCATTGTAAAAAGAATTCTTTTTGTGTTTTTTTTTTAACTCAATAATTAGCTTAAGTAACATTTAATTAAACCATTTTAAAAAAATCTTAAAAATTAATTACATTTAAAAATTATTTTTTTTCAGCTGAGTGAAGTTTCTAAGTTGAAAATTTTACCAGATATAATCCAATTAGAAGTTGTTGGAAATCCTCTTTGTGATTTGTCACACAGTCGACTGTATATTATATTCCATCTTCGCTCTGTAGAAAATTTGGACAATCAGATGGTTAATGAAAAAGAAAGAAAGCAGGCCCAAGAAAGATTTGCCCTAGGTTAATTTTTGGTTGCACTATTAAATTAAAAAAAAATTCTTATGGCTGATACACAATTTTGCAATGCATATTTAATTAGGCCTTAATTAGATTTCTTTCACTGTAATTATGATTCCTATGATAAATTAAATTTAAAAGTCACTTTAATAAATGAAATAATTTATGTACATTTTAAAGTTTCAAATATCAAAGCTTTTAAAAGATAGATGAACTTTGTTTTATTACAGATGAAGTAGAGCAGTTAGAGAAAAAGTTAGAGGAAGGAGAAATGAAATATAAACTATTAGAGGATTCTCATAGCAAATCTCTGCAGGTTATAAATTATGCCATGGATTAAGATTTTATCTTTTAATTAATTTGTTTTTTTGTGCTAAGAAATGTCATTTAAAAAAAAATATATATATATATAATCTGTATGCAAAAAACTTTCTATTGTACTGTTTCCTTACACCATTTTATAACCATTGACATGATTCCCGAAATGTCTATTGTCAAATTAATTCAAATAATGTTTGATAATGTTTAGGAAAAGTCACAGCATGAATCATCCCAACATCAGCTTTTGTCTAAAGAAAAAGATCTGATGGAAAAAGTTAAAAAACTGGAGCAGGAACTAGCAGCTAAAGATGAGCTTGTACGTTTGTATTCAATTGCTGCAATTCTTTTTATGAAAGATGTCCTGTATAGGTTTATTCAACTTATCTAGTGTGACAGACTGGAATTAAAATAAACTGTTATTTATCTATTTGTTTCACCAATTTTCTATTCAACCAGAACTTGCACATTAAATCTGTTACTGCTATCACACAATAAATAAAATTAATGTCATTTTCTTTCTAGTTGAAGAAAAAAACATCAGATTTAAATAAAGCAAGTCAGAAACATTATCAACTGGAGCAGGAACTTGCTTTCCATAAAATTGACTCAAAATTTGATAGTTTAACAGATGCTCCACATTTAGCTGCAGACAGTGTAAGTCAATCTATTTTTTTTTAAAGATCCTGTAATATAGCATTATAAATACATGATTTTAAATTTATAGGTAAATACATTTATAAAACATTTCTAATTTTAGGAAGTATATTCTTTGACTTGTTGTAAGCAGTTAGGTTCCACAATATTCTTTTAGCTTTAACAGTTTGAGACTTCATACTTAAGCAATGTTCTAGGGAGTTATCTGACTTGAAAAAGTTGTTAGCTTTTTATTGTACTGGTTGAAGTCATTCAGTTTCATACATTTTTTATGTCTCTCATCCATTAGAGACACATGAACCAAGCAATAAGAAATAGCTTTAAAAAGTGTCAGCAACTTGAATCTTTACTATTTTATTTCAATAAAGTAGTTGACATTTTGTTAATTAATTATAATTTTTAAGCTATACTATAAATTAAATAAATGAAACAATTTATTAACAGCATGATGACAGTTCTGACTTACAAGAAAGCGCATACATTGGCCGTGCCAGATTTCGCATGAACCAGCATGCCCAAGAGATCAATATTGTTCCCAAAGCAAAGAAAGCTCAGCTACACAGCATTCAGCCCTCTAGTGGTGTCTTACACAGAGTCATGTCAGAACCATTGAACCAAAAAACACAGGAAGATCATGAACTGGAAAAAAAACAAATAGAGTTAAAGAAAAGTAAGATAACAATTGTAATTAATCTGTTTTCTACTTGAATGGTCAATTGTACACTCCTGAATTTCTGACTTTTTTGGGGTAACCTAGTGCTAAAAAAAGCTAAAATCTATTTATGGATTAAAAATCAAGTTCTATTTTGTGGGCACATTTTTTAGGAAAATTAAAGCCTGGAAAAATGTTTATTAGTTTTCTAATAGAGTTTATATAGTTTGGTTATAGTATTAGAGATTTTTATAAATATTTATGATTCTGATTGAAGCTTTCACGCTTGTATTAAATTATAATTTTACAGCTTTTTTACTTTCTCGTATATACGTAGTATAGAGAAAGTATTGTAATCGTGCAAAAAAAAAAAATCGAGATTTTTACAGATCTCGACGTTTTACACCTCACTGATACGGAAAAACATAATTTTGCAATCTTGTCCGTATGTCTGTGTGTGTGTGTGTCTGTCTGTGTGTGTGTCTGTCCGTGTGTAAACACGATAACTTGAGTACCGTTACAGCTAGGTTGATGAAATTTCATATATAAGTATTTTATCAAAATCGTAGATCCGTATCAACTTTTGAGCGATTTCCGATAACCGGAAGTGGTACTTTTCCTACTTTGAATTTTTTAAAAGCCTATAACTTGAGTACTATTTCAGATAGATAAATGAAATTTCACATGTAAGTAAAAGATCTAATCCTCTACCTTCTGTTAAATTTTGAGTAATTTCCGTTGACTGGAAGTAGTAATTTACGCTACTTCCGATTTCTCAAAAAACTAATGTAAATTTTAAAAGTACTAATAATATTGCGCACTATTATGCGCTTTTTTATTGGGCGTTCACTTGGTGTGCAATTAATTTGTCTACGAGATTTTATTCTATTTTTAAAACTTTAAGTATTTAAAATGGATTAAAAATCATGTCTATAGCCAGAGTTCCCATCCCCTGTTATTTTATATAAGAATATTCGAGAAAGTTTAGGGGAGATCACTCCCGGTTTATTTTAATGTTTGAGTTTGTGAAGTTAATGTACATTATTTTGTAACATGTTTATCCTTTTGTTTCAACATGTAAATGTTATAAAATTGTGCTTAAATTTAGCATTTATTTACTTTTGAGTAACCTTTATGTGTTTTTAACTCTGTTGCAGCTGAAGAAAGGCTTAGAGTTTTACAGTTGGATTTATCCAACACAGAAAAGAAGTTGTTGAATGCAACTAGTGAGTTGAAGAAGATTGCCACAGATAGGTTTACACCTGAACCTTTCAGGGAAGACAACAAATACAAAATCAGACACAGGCTTGCCAGAAAAATGCAGAGGGTAAGAAGTCAATTATAAATCATTTAGTGTTCTTTTCATACAGATACAGTAGTTTATTTGATGTTTAGTTATTTTCTGTTATAAATATAAATGACTTTTTAAATTATGAAACTCTGCTCCATTGTTTTCATACAAATTTAGGCCTAGTGTAAAAATGCCTCTTCAACACTTATGGCTCTTGATAAAATTTTACCTTTGTTTTTCCAAAAGTTGCATCTTCAGTTACTATTTGTTAAATGTATTGTTTCACATGAGATTCACACACATTTATCAAACAAAATTAGGTCAACGAACTTCGCAACTCGGCCACACAAATGGAATCAGAAATTGATAGAAAAAATGTCCAGATCACAAAAGACAAAAATGATTTGCAAAAATTAAAATTGCATCTCACAGAACTGGATCCACGTAGTCAGACTTATGTAAGTCTTCAAGTATCAATTTTGAGTCTTGTTATTAAATTCATGCTCAACAAAATTTTTTGTTTGTTAACTAACCTGAGGTTTTTGGTTTGAAAAATAAATGTTTTGCTTTAGATTTGCGTTATATGTTACTGACTCAATATGGTAAAGGCAGTCAGCCATAACACCCAATGATATTTACTTAGAATTATGTGGTCAAATTGTAACAATAAATCATCACCTATATTTACATGATAACTCTATTATTTAGTTACCTCATCTATGAGTACTCTGTAACTTGACTAGTTTAGAAACATGGCTATTAATAAATGACTTATCTGATGTGTGTTGACTTTTGTAAAGGAAACAAAAATGAAGGAAATGCATGATAAAGAAACTCAGATAAATGTAGCCAGTCAGAGACAACAAGAGCTGGAGAAAGAACTTGAAGAGGCCATAGGCAACATAGCAGCAGAGACAGCTGACATCAAGAATCTGGAGAAGCAACTCTCCACTGGTCAGTTATTCTTTGTCTCACACTTCATCAATTTCACTCAATCTTTATAAAATCTAATGTTTCTTAACATCTTGTTTTTTTTTTTTTTTTAAACTTTTACACAGAGGAGCCATTATGTATTGATATAGGAATGAACTGTCCCTTCAAATTTATTTCAACTTAATGCTCATGTATTGGCGTCTTGTTTTTCACTAGCTTTTACACTTTTACACACTGACCATAGCATTGTTTTCATAACAATTTAATCAGACCCAAACACACTGACCAATGCTATTGTTTACATAACAGTTTAATCAGAAACACGGAGTGGTCTAGCGGTAGAGAGCTGGACTACTAACCCGTTAGTCTCGAGTTCGAATCCGGGTTCAAGTCAGCAAACCGTCCCTGAGTCCACCCAACTCTGATGGGTACCTAACTCACGTTAGGGAAAGTAAAGGCGGCTGGGCATAGTGCTGACCACACTATCTCTTCATATGCCGAGGTCACAGAAACAAGTGAACTCTACTTCACTTGCCCCATAGACCGTCAGGTTTGAAAGGGAAACTTTTTTTTTTTTTTTAATCAGAAACACACTGACCAATGCTATTGTCCACTCAACAGATCAGATAGAACAGAATGAGGAACTGAGACAAGAACTTGATGACATTGTCAGTGGTCTCTCTGGGTATCTAGAGAATGTCAAAGGTCAGAGTGAGCACCACAAGCATGAGGTGGAGCGTTTGGTGGAGGAGAAGAGAGGAATGGAGGAAAAGATCCGACGCATGGAGAGTGATCTACACAAGCTTGAGACTGAGTCTAACAATGCCAGACTTATGCAGAAGGTCACCACTGTGTATTTGTTGGTCTATGATATTCTTTAATTGTACATGTTATACATACACACCATGACTTATAAAATAATTATACTACACACTTCCCATACACAACATAACTAATAAAAGAAATGTGTTAAATAAAACCTACAAGAATTATGTTACACAGTTCTCATGCACAACATGGCTAATAATTTTGATCTGTGAGGCCACCATTGATTAATGAACATTTGGTTGAACAAACTCTTGGACTGTGCTATCTAGGATTGCCATGTCTGGGCTGTGTTACTGTGTTATATTACATCACTTACACAAAAATGTGTTGACCTGATGATATTTAATGTTTGCAAACAGAGACTTACAGAGCTAGAAGATTCTCTGAGGAAAACTGAGGACCTAAACTCCACACTACAAGACCAAGTCAATCGCACTAAGTTAAATGACCCAGAATTACAAGATAAACTACAGCGGGCTGAAAATGAGGCTAAACAGTTGCGACAAACATTAATAGACACAGAGAAAAAAACTGAAGTAATGATAATTAGTTTTTAAAAAATCTTTGTCAAATTTAAACAATCTAAACAGCTACAATCATGCATGTTTAAAGGATTAAACATTTTATTGGTATTAATACCATACTAAAAATAGAAATAATAATTGTATTTTCTATTTTAAAAAGAAAATGATGCCGCAGCTCAATTCTGGTTTATCTTTAACTTCACAAATGTTTTGTAGTTATGGCCCTTGGTTTAGTGCTTTAAATAGAAAGCAGTCTTAGAGCAGTAAATCTTTGTTCTTTGACCAAAACCTCCAATCAAGTGTAGTAAAGTTATGTCTATATTTTCATCTTTTGTTCCTTAGATTGAAAAGAAGGCGATGCAGAAACAGCTGTTAATAGAGAGGGAGAGGGCGGAGAAGATGACCCAGAAAATTCAGGACGTCAACAGACAGGAGCTGGAGAGTAAAAAACTTGTCCAACAGCTAGAGGCTGCCAAGGTCAAACTCTTTCATTTTTTTCTATTCAGTTTTTTCTATTCCATTGTATATATATATATATATATATATATATATATATATATATATATATATATATATATATATATATATATATATATATATATATATATATATATATTATACTTAGTTAATGTTGCATTATGTAGGTCTATATAGTTTATTGCATGAAATGTTTATAGTAAATGATTATTCAATAGAGATTTTTTTTTTTTTTTTTTTTCTTCTTGTTATGCCTGAGTGAGTAAAAATGTGATTAAAATCTGTACAGGCCTTGAATGCTGGTCTGAGAGATCAGGTGGAAGAATATAAACAAAAACAACAAGAAGATGGATTCAAACCCAGTGATCTGAAGAAAAGGCTGAAAAAGTTTACTCATGAATTTAAAAATATGGTAATGAGACCTCAATAAATTATTTAAATAACTTTAATTGGTGTTGAAAGTTAGGAAATTTTAATATGTTTATTTCTAAAGGAATGATTTTAAAAGTTCTAAAATTTAAAAAAATCTGACTAAATTATTGTTTCAGGACCCCATCCAACCACAGAATAAAAATGATGTACTTGGTTTTGCATTTCAAGAGTTACAGAAACATGCCCAGGAGCAAATCAACACTAGCACCAAGGAAATGGAGAGCTTGAAAAAATATAAACAGAAGGTAGGAATTCTAGTTATTAAAAGACAGACAAAGATAATTCTTTAAAATCTTCTGTATGATTCTCAGATTCTTTTCCCCGTGGCCAGAGTCAACTTGAAACAGACCTCAGCGTTTCAGAAAGTTAAAGTACAATGAGTTTGTAATTGTAAATGCTACTGTAAAATAATTCAGAATGATATGGGAAGACTTTACAACAATATTTGCGACACTCAACTTATGGATGAATGGAGGTTTTCACTTAGTCTTTGGGTCATTTTAAAGCAGATATCAATGATGAAAACCATTTAGGAATCAGACCAATAGATTCAATGAAATGATAATTTTACTTTGAACTCAACCCTAAATTCTGAGAAATGTAGAACTTACTATCTGGCACATTATTTTGCTACTTTAGACCCCTACTCATTTTTGTCTCTAGTTCATGTCTAAGAATATAAAGGAACATTGATTTCACACAAAAGAGAAGACACTACATGTGTTTTATGTACATTAGATATGTTGAAGCTTGTAGTTGCTTTTATTCATGTTACTGATTTAATATTTGAAGAAAACTTGCAGTTAGCTACAACTGATTGTAATTTAAAAAGTAAGAAACAAAAAATTAAGAAACAAACAAAAAATGATTTCACAGGCAGATGCTCAGATCCAAGCTTTAAAAGAACAAATTCAGCATACAGAGGCAGCCATTCAGGCAGACAAGGATGTCAATGGCAGCAAGGTAATTGGTTGATTTCATGGTCACATGACTTCTTTTGTGATCACATTAGTTTTTTTAGTGATCACATGACTTATTTAGGGATTTATATTTGTTTAGTAGTCAAAACATTGTAAATAATTCATATGAGATAGTTTTCTTGATATTTTAAAGTAATTAGTATGCTAGTCATACTACATTATTTCAATTTTACATTTGTTTAAATGATGTTAAAAAAAGCAAATTATGAAAATAATTGGAATAAATAAAATAATCATTTTACTTTCCAATGAAAGTGATTAAAAAAATTTCCCCAGCTTGAAGAAGAAAACAAAAAGCTTCAAGATGAGTTGAAGAGACTGAAGAGAGCCCTTGACGAAGCCAAGAAAAACCAGGAAGTATGATTTGTTTACTTTTTTAAAAGTTAAAACTTTTCAAATAAAGAAAACAAATAATAGCAAATTGCAAGAAAATTTTGTTTCCTGTATTTATAACTTACCATTTTAAATATATTTAAAAAGAACATGATTCTAAACAAACTTAGTAATCACCAACAACATCTGCAACAGCCCAGGTCTACTAGTTTGATTATTAGCCCTGGTTTTAGGCCTACTTGCTTGACTGTTTTATTGACAAAGATTTTGAATTTGTTTTGTTACTTAAAACTTTGACTGCACATGTTAAAAAAAACTGGAATACAAGAGTGATGTAAGTTTGATTTTGTGTGTCACCAGGGATCCATCCCAGTGCGGATTGTTTACAGGCCTGACACAGACAGTGACAGAGCTTCTTCCATGAACTCAGATGAGAAACTTTTGTTTGATGTGCTGCAGAAAGATTTGATGGACTTGAAAAGACACATGAGGAATCATGAAAACGACTTGTCCAAAAAAGTAAATTAAGAAATTTTATGAAAACTTCTAGTCTAGATGTAAATTTAAGATTTAAAAAAAGTCAAACTTCTTACTTAGTGTTTCATTTGCTGTGTTTGATGCCATGCAATGTAAAGCATGGCTGAAATTCTATACTGTTATTGTTGAATTTAATAAAACAAATTGTATGAGGTTTGGGTTGATTACTTGCTAGCATATAAATGTTATGTATTTAACTTTACCTGGTCCAGTATAAGTAGTTTAAGTTGACTACTGAGATATTGATCTGGTGTCAGTATTGTAAGCTCTATATTGAGGATTGAAATTTTAAATAACCAATTGGCTCTCTTATGAAATTTAAAATGACATTGACTGTGCCCCTAGTTGCTCTGATGAAATATAATATGACATTTACTTTCCTCTAGTTGACAGAAGCTGAAAAAGAAGCAGCTCACTGGAGAGATGAAGCTCACCAAAAAGAAAGAGAATATGAAACTGAGATGGAGGAATACAGGCAGGCCCTTGATCTAATGAGGGTAAGTCATTAGAAATTTTTTGTCTTACTTTAAACTTTTAATTTAATCCTGCACTTCATCCAACTTTACAAATATTTTGTTCACTTTAAACATTGCTAAAAAAAAGGAAAAAAAAAATTATTTTATTTTAAACAAACTTCAATTTTCTATCATCATGAGTTGGACAACTTGCATACTTTTATTACATCTTTTGCTTTTTTAACATGCAGGAGAAACAAGAGGCCAGGATTCAAGTTATTGCCCAAGACTTAGATCAAGCGCAGTTTGTTGCTGAATCTTTGCAAAAAATGTTAGAGGACAGAGAAAGAGTTCTGAATGAGGAGTTTAGTAACGCAGATATGTCCAACCAGCTTATATGTAAGAATAACCAAGGGAGTTTCTAGGGATTATAAAATGAAAAATTTGTTTCACTAATTGTTAATAACTATGTACACTTTATATTAAAACTTAAAAGTTTATTTTTTGGTTATTATTTTTCTAAAATTTTAGCCTTTTTTTTCTTTTTGTAGATAAAGTAACTCATTTTGAATTATTACTCTAAATTTTATATTTTAAATTCGCTAATCTAATTCTGTTGGTTATGATTGTTTTTTAAAATAATTAGCTGCCCAAGAAGATGAGCTGGAAAAGCTATATGACATCCTGGACAAACAGAGGGAGGAGATAGAGAAGCTTAACCAGATGCTGGATAATTTAGCTCAGCAAGGACCAGATGGAGGTATGTAGACAATCACTGTGGAAGATTACTTGGTTCTAGTATCATTAAATATGCTTAAAATTTTAAAATCTTCTTACATATTGTTGTAAATATCTTTGGCACAGCATTAGTGCTGGTTAATTAAAATTTCTTTAAACTGAATTCAATATAGAAATTTAAAATGCAGTAAATGTTGGGCAAATTTCCCATAACAACAATATTAAAAGCAATGTCAAAATGGCATTTGTATAGTTGAAGCTTTAGTTTTTTAATGATGGTTAATGAAATGATAATAACTGGATAATTTATTATCTAAACTAAATAATTACTTGATTTAAAGTATTTGTTAAGATTTGTAATCCATTCACTTTAAAAAAGAATGACTATTAAAACATGCTTACATTTTGTTGTCTGTAATTTTCTTGATCAGTTGGTGTAGCTTTTAATGATGAGTTATGGCCCATTCAACAAAAATATTAAAACATGTATACCTATTTTTTGTTGTATATCTTGATCAGTTGGTACAGCTTTTAATGATGAGTTGTGGCGCATTCGACAAAAAGATTAAAACATGTATACCTATTTTTTTGTTGTATGTCTTGATCAGTTGGTGCAGCTTTTGATGATGAGTTGTGGCCCATTCAACAAAAAGATTAAAACATGTATACCTATTTTTTTGTTATATATCTTGATCAGTTGGTGCAGCTTTCGATGATGAGTTGTGGCGCATTCGACAAGAAGTGAACAGCCTGAAGGAGACCCTGGCCATGCAGTCTGCTTATGTCCAGGCCATGCCAAATGTTGGAGAAATGGCCACCCAGGCGGATGCTTTCTTCCAGTATGGACCAGCTGACCAGAGTCCTGGGTTTGCTGTCAGGACAGCTGGGGCTGCAGCAGGAACTCCTGTGGCTGGTCACCAGAACTACGACTCTGTTGTAAGATCTTCAGGGATTTTAGAGGGGAACATTTTTTATTGTTGAACAGTCTTAAAATATTTTATGTTAACATGAAATGGAAGAAATTATTTTAGAAAACAATGATTATATTTTTAGTTTTTAAAACAGTAGGTCAAGAAGAATAAGTTTGCTGTATTTCCCCAGCCAACTCCACCAAGTAAAGTATCAGGAAGTCAGGTGACTACTGTTGGCTCCACGACACATACCTCAGCTAACGCCAACTTTGGAACTTCATCTCGCAGCAGTCATTCTGGCAACAGGCCAGGATCTGTGCACATATCAGGGGGGAATATAGCATCAACAGTGCCTTTCAAGTCTAATCAGGTACTTTAGTTTTCATCAAATACAATCATATAGCATCAACAGTGCTTGTCAAGTCTAATCAGGTACTTAAGTTTTCATCAAATCATATAGCATCAACAGTGCCTGTCAAGTCTAATCAGGTACTTTAGTATTCATCAAGTACAATCATATAGCATCAACAGTGCCTGTCAAGTCTAATCAGGTACTTAAGTTTTCATCAAATACAATCATATAGCATCAACAGTGCCTGTCTAATCAGGTACTTAAGTTTTCATCAAATACAATCATATAGCATCAACAGTGCCTGTCTAATCAGGTACTTTAGTTTTCATCAAATACAATCATATAGCATCAACAGTGCCCCTCAAGTCTAATCAGGTACTTAAGTTTTCATCAAATATAATCATATAGCATCAACAGTGCTTGTCAAGTCTAATCAGGTACTTAAGTTTTCATCAAATCATATAGCATTAACAGTGCTTGTCAAGTCTAATCAGGTACTTTAGTTTTCATCAAATACAATCATATAGCATCAACAGTGCCTGTCAAGTCTAATCAGGTACTTTAGTTTTCATCAAATACAATCATATAGCATCAACAGTGCCTGTCTAATCAGGTACTTTAGTTTTCATCAAATACAATCATATAGCATCAACAGTGCCTGTCTAATCAGGTACTTTAGTTTTCATCAAATCATATAGCATCAACAGTGCCTGTCAAGTCTAATCAGGTACTTTAGTTTTCATCAAATACAATCATATAGCATCAACAGTGCCTGTCAAGTCTAATCAGGTACTTAAGTTTTCATCAAATCATATAGCATCAACAGTGCCTTTCAAGTCTAATCAGGTACTTTAGTTTTCATCAAATACAATCATATAGCATCAACAGTGCTTGTCAAGTCTAATCAGGTACTTAAGTTTTCATCAAATACAATCATATAGCATCAACAGTGCCTGTCTAATCAGGTACTTTAGTTTTCATCAAATACAATCATATAGCATCAACAGTGCCTGTCTAATCAGGTACTTTAGTTTTCATCAAATACAATCATATAGCATCAACAGTGCCTGTCAAGTCTAATCAGGTACTTAAGTTTTCATCAAATCATATAGCATCAACAGTGCCTGTCAAGTCTAATCAGGTACTTTAGTTTTCATCAAATACAATCATATAGCATCAACAGTGCCTGTCAAGTCTAATCAGGTACTTTAGTTTTCATCAAATACAATCATATAGCATCAACAGTGCCTGTCTAATCAGGTACTTTAGTTTTCATCAAATACAATCATATAACATCAACAGTGCCTGTCTAATCAGGTACTTAAGTTTTCATCAAGTACAATCATATAGCATCAACAGTGCTTGTCAAGTCTAATCAGGTACTTTAGTTTTCATCAAATACAATCATATAGCATCAACAGTGCCTGTCTAATCAGGTACTTTAGTTTTCATCAAATACAATCATATAGCATCAACAGTGCCTGTCTAATCAGGTACTTAAGTTTTCATCAAATACAATCATATAGCATCAACAGTGCCTGTCAAGTCTAATCAGGTACTTTAGTTTTCATCAAATACAATCATATAGCATCAACAGTGCTTGTCTAATCAGGTACTTTAGTTTTCATCAAATACAATCATATAGCATCAACAGTGCCTGTCAAGTCTAATCAGGTACTTAAGTTTTCATCAAATCATATAGCATCAACAGTGCCTGTCTAATCAGGTACTTTAGTTTTCATCAAGTACAATCATATAGCATCAACAGTGCTTGTCAAGTCTAATCAGGTACTTTAGTTTTCATCAAATACAATCATATAGCATCAACAGTGCCTGTCTAATCAGGTACTTAAGTTTTCATCAAATACAATCATATAGCATCAACAGTGCTTGTCAAGTCTAATCAGGTACTTTAGTTTTCATCAAATACAATCATATAGCATCAACAGTGCCAGTCAAGTCTAATCAGGTACTTTAGTTTTCATCAAATACAATCATATAGCATCAACAGTGCCTGTCAAGTCTAATCAGGTACTTTAGTTTTCATCAAATACAATCATATAGCATCAACAGTGCCTGTCAAGTCTAATCAGGTACTTTAGTTTTCATCAAATACAATCATATAGCATCAACAGTGCCTGTCAAGTCTAATCAGGTACTTTAGTTTTCATCAAATACAATCATATAGCATCAACAGTGCCTGTCTAATCAGGTACTTTAGTTTTCATCAAATACAATCATATAGCATCAACAGCACCCCTCAAGTCTAATCAGGTACTTTAGTTTTCATCAAATACAATCATATAGCATCAACAGTGCTTGTCAAGTCTAATCAGGTACTTAATTTTTCATCAAAATATTTAAGACAATAAACAAATTTATGATGACGGTAGTTAAGATGAAATTTCATGTTATGCACACATTAATTATTGAATGTTGGGTGCAGAGGTTAGGCCAAATGTCCGAACATCTGGGTACTGAGAGAAGAGAATCTAAAGCACCACCTGGTGGGAAATCTGCTGTCTCAAGAGCAGCAGACGGGTTGCCAAGTCAGACAACTCCAAAAACCCGTGTCCTAGGTGAGCAGGTTTTAGTAAAAACATTTACTGAACTAAACTTTATTAAAATAAAAACATTTAATGAAATAAACTTTATTAAAATAAAAACATTTACTGAAATAAACTTTATTAAAATAAAAGCATTTACTTAAATAAATTTTATTAAAACAAAAACATTTACTGAAATAAACTTTATTAAAATAAAAACATTTACTGAAATTTTTTTTATTAAAATAAAAACATTTACTAAAATAAAGTTTATTAAAATAAAAACATTTACTAAAATAAAGTTTATTAAAATAAAAACATTTAATGAAATAAAGTTTATTAAAATAAAAACATTTACTGAAATAAATTTTATTAAAATAAAAACATTTAATGAAATAAACTTTATTAAAATAAAAACATTTACTGAAACAATTTTAATTAAAATAAAAACATTTACTGAAATAAACTTTATTAAAATAAAAACATTTACTGAAAATTTTTTTATTAAAATAAAAACATTTAATGAAATAAACTTAATTAAAATAAAAACATTTACTGAAATAAACTTTATTAAAACCTGTTGTTTTTAATTTATTTAATTTGGTAATATAGATAGTTACTTTAATAATAGTTATATACATTATAAAACTGAAAATCCCAAATGCCTTTTGCATAAAATATTAAATTTGTTCTTAAAACTTCTATTTGTTTTATTCTTAGACATAACAATAAAAAAGTTGAACTTTTAAAATTTTCAGGTATAGAAACGAATGCAGCTGTTCCTCAACAAACTTATGGCCCACACAATAGGCAGAACAGCAGGGGTCAGCCATTGGCTGCTTCTTCAGCTTTTGAGCCTGTTCGCAGAGCTGAAGATTTTCATCAAACCCAGTCCTTCCCACAAGCGTCTGCACCTCACATCCCATCAGGCTCAGCCCCTCACTTACCACCAGGCTCAGCCCCTCACTTACCACCAGGCTCAGCCCATCACTTACCACCAGGCTCAGCCCCTCACTTACCACCAGGCTCAGCCCATCACATCCCACCAGGCTCAGCCCCTCACTTACCACCAGGCTCAGCCCCTCACATCCCACCAGGCTCAGCTCCTCACTTACCACCAGGCTCAGCCCCTCACTTACCACCAGGCTCAGCCCCTCACTTACCACCAGGCTCAGCCCCTCACTTACCACCAGGCTCAGCCCATCACATCCCACCAGGCTCAGCCCCTCACTTACCACCAGGCTCAGCCCCTCACATCCCACCAGGCTCAGCTCCTCACTTACCACCAGGCTCAGCTCCTCACTTACCACCAGGCTCAGCTCCTCACTTACCACCTAGAGAAGTACCTGGCCAGCTTCCGTCTTCACACCACACAGGTAAATGAACAAATATTGAATTTTTACTTTGATTAAGACAAGATTTCTCCTTATTTATTTAAAGTAAAGACCCGCTATGTATTTCAATTACAAATATGTTTTATCCATCCAGCCGTGGGTCCGTTGTCTCATGTGGACTACCCCCCTCAAGTGCCTTATGGGTTAAGTAGCCTGGGACCCAGCCAAGCAAGCCAGACTTCGAGGCCCTATGGAGTTTATAGAGACACCAACCCACAGGCTTTACCTATGTAAGTCACAGTCTACCCCCTCTCTTGGTGGACTGCTATGTTTTCTTTTTTTATTAGCAACTTTTATTAGAGAATATTTTTTAGTTTTTAAATATTTTGACACAGAATGCTTACATCTAAATGAAAAAAAACTTTCTAAAACAGAAAATATAAAAGCGCTATTAACATTGTAACACTATGATTTGGCAGGTTTTACCCAGTTGATAACCCTACAAGGCTGATGCCTTCCCAGCATGCAATGGGCCCTACATACCCTGCCAGCTCTGCCATCAGTGCTGCAGGCCAGCCTGTGGCAGGGAACCCAACAGTTGCCTTCAACCCTGTGCCTGTACAGATCTGGTATAATCCCGGCTCAGTTGATGGCTCTACAGGTAGTGTTAGAAACTAGGAGTTTACCTGAACACAGATTTTAGTTGTTGATACCTTTATACAGATCTTTTATACAGAGCCTTACACCCTCATGTAAATATACAGCTTTAAAACTCATTTAACTATACATACACTTGTTGTAGGAACAGAGCCTTACACCCTCATGTAAATATACATAAACTTTAGGAATAGAGCCTTGCAGCCTCATGTAACTATACCTAAATATGTTGTAGGAATAGTCTTACACCCTCATGTAGCTATACATAAATGTGTTGTAGGGTTAGAGCCTTAACACTCGTTTAACTATACACACACTTGTTGTAGGAATAGAGCCTTACACCCTGGGCCACCAGTCCTACCAGCCATCAGGTCCAGCTCAACTGTCCAGTTATGGACCAGGTCGGATGTACGTACCAGCTGGCACAGGTCACAGAGGTCAACATCCAGCCCGGATCTACTACCCTGCTCAACAGTCTTTCCCTATGCCAGCCCCAGGTCTGACATGTTTCAGTCCATCATTGTCTTAATGTACTGTAATTGCTTGCTAGCTACAAGTCTGTTTACTTTCCAAACAATCAACTTAAGATGGGCACATGACATAAGTTGGGTTTGAAAGATAATATCATTCTTATTCCCTTAAATTTAGAGGACTAAATGTAGCTGATAATCTCACAGAATTAAGCTACTAACTATGGCTATTATTGTTTTTTTTTTTAATATAAAGGGAACATACTATTGCTCATTTTGTGTAAATCAAGGGAAGCAACTATGGTTAATAAAATTTTTAAGTCAAGGGGGCTAAATACAGCTGTTGTTTAAATCAAGGAAACTACCTATAGCCAATTTTTAAATAATGGAACGACCTATCGCTATTATTCCAATCAAGGGATATTAACTATAGCTGATATTGTTTATAAGGGAACTAACTAGCTGATATTGTTTTAAATCAAGGGAAATAACTATATATACTATAGTTTCAGATAAGGCAGCTAACCATAGTTGACTGTTGTGTTCATATAACAAGTAAACTACACGCTGGTTGTATATTTTTGTTATGTAAATAGCTAACATCAGTCATCACATTTTTCTGTCCAGGTGGTGCACCACCCCCTCCCCCACCAGGTGGATTTGTTCATGTTTTACCTGGAGATCCAAGGTCATCAGCCATGACCCCAGTGGCCAGTGGAACACCAATCCGAGGTGGGGACCCACCCATAGCATATTATGATGGCTCTATGTTGGCACCACCCAGTCCCATACGTAAGTTTCAATGTGTTTGTTTTATACGTGAGTTACAATATGTGTTTTATATGTGAGTTACAATATGTCTGTTTTATATTGTTTAAAAAATAGTTATGTTGAACTTCATTTGTGTTGTGGGCATAAGCTCATGCTACATGCAGCTACATATAGACACTTCAAGGCAGGTTCCCCACAGCACAAAAATGACATACTCATAGCTTTAACCTCCACATTTGTTGTGACACAAGAATTACAACAATAACAAACAGTGGATTGAGTTGTTTTTTTTTCCTGATACTTCTAATGCTTTCTCAGTCACTTGGCTTGCTAACTTGATCCCCCCTCCCCCTCACCTAATGTAGAGCATATGGGCTCTGATATAATATGTGAATTATGTGTGTGTGTGTGTGTGTGCATGTGTGTATATGTATAGATTTGTATGTGTATGTATTTATACCATAACAACAGCTTTTTAAATATTCAAAATATTGAAATTGTGAAACACATATATACACATATATACACCATCACCAATAGCTATAACTTAGCCGTGAGGCAACTTTCACTTCGGAGATAGATGGGAGTAGGTTCTAACCCCCCCCCCCCCCCCCCCCCCACCAACGTCCCTACTTTTGTCGCTGGTGGCGCACAGTTTTGTATTGTTGTCCATTGTTTAAAACAAAAGAGCAATGGAGCAACCTGTGGTGTTAGACTAGCTTCAAGTGAAAAGTCGTGAGTTTTTTTAAAATGATTTTACATTCGGGAGTCTCATAGATTATGAAATGGATCTTTAATTCCCCAAACACTTGCTGATGTGCCCCCTTCTCTTCCTCCCCCTCCCCCTCCCTTACAAACCTCGACTAATATTACCAGCAAACCCTCCCGTCGGGTCAAGGGTCCTATCTGTGTTGTACCAGAGGTTAGAGCTAAACTGCTGACTGTAACAGAAATGTAGTCAATCTGCCGAGACACCGCTGGTTTTTTTTTGTCGTCGAGAAACAAAACAATATGAACTTTGACCTCCAATGTTCTTTACTTGCCTCCCGTCTGAAAAAAGATCGTATAGAGTTAGGTCTAGCTTACTTTCCGCTTAATTGTTACCCCCCCCCCCCCCCCCAATGAGTACGTTTTTAATTAAACTTAACGTAGCCTACTGCAAATTCCTGAAGAGCTTATAAGGGATTTGTGCCACATGCCCTATCTGTTCAGGCGCATGAACATGATATTGTACACTTCAATCAAACGGCCGTTGGGTTCAACTTAGCCAACATACAACAAGAATCCTGAGTTGTTAACATGATATTGTTGTATAGTTTAATTAAACGGCCGTTGGGTTCAACTTAGCCAACATACAACAAGAATCTTGTGTTGTTAACATGATATTGTTGAATAGTTCAACCAAACGGCCGTTGGGTTCAACTTAGTCAACATACAACAAGAATCTTGTGTTGTTAACATGATATTGTTGTATAGTTCAACCAAACGGCCGTTAGTGTCAACTTAACCAACATACAACAAGAATTCTGTGTTGTTAACATGATATTGTAAAGTTCAATCAATACATTATTAAATTAAATTATTAAATTAGATTTCTATATTCCTGGAGGGGGGGGGGGGGTAAGGACATGTTCCCAGGGAAGGGCGGTACCTCTGGAGAGCAGTAGTTCTTCCAGACTTTTTTCTCCGGGGGAGGGACACTGTTAAAACGATATATTTTCTATATTAATTCCATTTCGTTCTGGGGGTGGGGGGAGGGGGGGGGGGGTAGGGGCGGTAGACTTTCTTCGTGGGGCGGAGAGATGCCTGGAAGACAAACTGCTACCTCCACCCTCCGTCACATAATATCTTGTCTACAATGTGATGAAGGCCTATACCGGTGCCATATGGATCGATCATTGGTACCAAGTTTACATTCTTAAGACTATCAAGAGGAGTCAGTCGTGTGTAGAGGGGGAGGTTACCGTAAAACCTCCAGTCTATCACCATATTAATCTCCGCTAGTAAGCTATGTGTGGAAAGGTAGGTTACCGTAAAACTATATTTTCCAGCCCAAGCCAGCGAAGAAAATCCAAGTGCCCACAATTGTGTCCCATATCTCGACGTCTCCGCTCGGCTACACATAGAGCTCATTATAAACGACTCGGCCCTAATGACCGTATTGCACGGTTCAAGTGGGCACTGAACATAATATTTTTATAGCCCTGGGACGGTCGCGTCTATTCTCTCAGATTATTGCTGGAACGTTTGATCCTTTGTTGTGTACTACGTGTCACAATTCTCACCTGTAGCAGTTATATAAGGGGTTGGAGAGTGGAAGTGATACTTCATTAACATAAGGGGGCGTGCGTGTTTATGGTTTTTACAACTTTTAATATAGGGGCGTGTGTGTTTATGGTTTTTACAACTTTTAATATAGGGGCGTTGTGTTTATGGATTTTACAACTTTTAATATAGGGGCGTGTGTGTGTGTCGATAGTTTTTAAAGCTTTAATAGCTTTAACTCTACACAAACTATAAAAAAATCATTACAAACAATTTTTCATGTGTGTATGTGATTAAGATGAGTGCAGGACATTACTGACATGCTGGTCATGCCCATCTGATATTATCTCCTCTGGTCAGTTAGCACTCCTTGCCAGTTAAACCCATGTAAATTACCCCGTCAATTACCCCCCCACCCCGGTCAATTCCCCCACCCCCTGTCAAATACCCCCCCTCCCGTCAATTACCCCCGCTCCTCCCCTGTCAGTTACCCCCTTACTATAACCCATCGCTTTTTAGTAGGATATTACCCACTGTCGAGTATAAATTAATCTTAAACCTAATCCTAACGTTAACCCTAACCCTTTGGTTTAGTAGGTTTAGGTTAAGGCTAGTTTTAGTGTTTCCCATACTAAGTGTTTTAGATATTCTAGAGAGAGGGGTAATTGCAATGGGGGAAATTAATGTGGGGGTAACGCCAGGTTGGAGATGACCAGGGGTGGGTGAGGTATTTGACAGAGAATAATGTCTTTGATCCCATGTCAGCCGTGCAGTAACACTCGCTGTTGTAGACTGACCATAACACTCGCTGTTGTAGACTGACCATAACACTCGCTGTTGTAGACTGACCATAACACTCGCTGTTGTAGACTGACCATAACACTCGCTGTTGTAGACTGACCATAACACTCGCTGTTGTAGACTGACCATAACACTCGCTGTTGTAGACTGACCATAACACTCGCTGTTGTAGACTGACCATAACACTCGCTGTTGTAGATTGACCATAACACTCGCTGTTGTAGACTGACCATAACACTCGCTGTTGTAGACTGACCATAACACTCGCTGTTGTAGACTGACCATAACACTCGCTGCTGTAGACTGACCAAACATAGCACCGTGTTTTAGGTCACTATTCAACACTCAGCGGAGAGTTAGGGACTTGCAACCACACATGGTCGTTGCCATGGCAATATTCTGGCAATATTAGGCCCTATTGACTTTATCATATTGTAACAATATCATGCAGTTAGATGACACTTTAAAGATAGCACATTATCTCTTTAATCATAACGAGATGAAATATTCACATAAAAGAAACACGAAGAAAAGTATATTTGATCCTCAGGTATGCAATCAATAGCACTGTCTTAGCCTAGATCGATGTTTCGATCAGGTGATTGGAATGTGTAGGGTAGTAGCGTAGCGTAGCTGTGTCGTGTATTGTTGGGTGGTAGTAGCGCCGTGTTCGTGTGTTCAGGAATGGCGTTGGGATTTGAGACCTATGTGTATTGTTTAGTATAAACTTGAAAGTTCCTTAGATGGTGATGTGTTTAAGACATGATTCTGCATAGTTCCAATTATGTAGCGAAAAGTTTACAGTAATGTAAACTTGCTGCAAGTGATTTCTGCACGCTCTACTATTATGTTTAGGTAGGTCTGTGTTTCATATAGATCTACCGGTTGTTTATTGGCGACCTCTATAGATCTACTTGTTTAATGTTAAATAAAAAAAATGTTTTAATAAAATTATCTCTCGGCCATCGCTTCGAATTTTTGTACAATTTTTCATTCAAAAAGTAAGAACTTTAACTTGGTTATACATTTGTAGACGTTGTTAATGTTATGGCTTGTTTAGTTTATAATTACAACCAACACACTTTTTCGTTGCTTTCATGGACTGTGCGCTACCGATATAACCCAGTCACACAGTTTTGTCGCTACATTGTTGACAGCGACACGCCGTAATTCGCACCTTTGTATAAAAAATGTTTTGAATGGCGGACTGCACGCGACATGTCAATGCGCGCTTTCTTCTTTTTAAAAAAAATTCCTAGCAGTGACTTAGGGCCTACCGGAAATAGGATTGTCGTCTGCTAACGTCCAATATCATACAAATTTATAGGCCTACTGGCGCACAAAAAAAAGTGAATGTTTGTTTAAGATATTGACGTTAACGATAAGGTTTGGGAATTGTTTGAACAGAAAATAATCGTCTTTCTTCAATGTTTACCGTACTTTGTAGAACATATAGATCTAGATGATCAAGATCTATAGATCTAGAAAGTGGCTTAGCTAGGATTTTTGGGCCCCTATGCAAAAACTGTTAGTGGGCCCCTCAGAGGCGTAGCGACCCTTCCCGGCGACCGGGGACAAACTGTTGATTTGCACCCCCCCCCCCCCCCTCAGACTTTCGATTTGCACACCCCCCCCCCCCCCCCCCTCAGACTTTCGATTGCACCCCTCCTCAAACTTTCGAAAAAGGGCCCCTATTTGCCTTGGGCCCCTATGCCTTGCTTACGCTAGCTTTACGGTAGCTACGCCACTGGATCTAGACCATGTCAAGTGGGCGGCCTAAGATTAAGTTTTTTAAACAAAAACATTTCTTAAATGTCCTTGTTTTGTCCTCACTCTCTCATTGAATGAGTGTATGTGTCAGATTTCGTCATTACGCTTCCAGTAGCGGGTGATCTAGAAATCATTTTGTATTTTATTTGATGAACAATAATAGATCAACCGGGGTTCCTAGAAATATATGAGGGATGGTGGCGGTACTGTAGCGTAGCGAGGGGGGGGGGGGACAAAATGGGTTGGAAAAATAAATTGAAAGGTTGAGGGGGGTGCACATTAAAGTTTGAGGGGGGGAGGTGCAAATCGAAAAATCGAAATCTTGAGGGAGGGTGTGCAAATTGAAAGTTTGAGAGGGGAGGGGGGGTGTGCAAATTGAAATCCGACGTGTGACGGAGGGGAGGGGGGGGAGGTAAAAATCGTCAAAAAAGCGTGACGTCATTTATGGATGACCCCTATGTCCCAGTTTAAAGGACTCAATACACTCTGACTTGCTTGACTTGACAAATCTCACACAATTTATGCATAAATAAGCACAGACATGCAACACCCATTACTGTGGCATTACTAGATTACTAATTGTTGCATATTTAAAGGAGTAGAAAAGTCTAATCTAATAATATAATATATTTTCCCCTTTCACTTATATTTTTATTTTAGAGCTCAATTTTTACCTTTAATGGGCACACTTTTAAAAGTCTAGGGGTCGGTGTGGTCAAATCGGTAAAGCTCATGGTTGCTAAACTGAAAAGTCCCCAGTTTGAACCCCATGGTAGATGAAACTCAATAACTGGGGACAGCAACCCATCTAGGAGAGACAACTCCAAAAAAAAAAAAAAACTGTTGCCTTGTAGTTTGTTCTTGGATGGACAAAGACTATGGTAGCTAATCAAAAAAGAAAAGCAGGCTAAAATTAGAATCAATGACCTATATGGCACATAACATGTTGGCACATATTACTTAACATTACAATTAAGAACGAAAAAAAAATAAAAGTAAAATGCCTTTTTTAAAAATGCTGTCCCAGTTCAGCTCCCCCATCTACACTATAAAAGTAATTTTTCTTTTTGAAACCACATTTTTATTCTGAAAAGACTATAAACAATATGGGAGTGTGACCTTGACTTTAATTGTGTTACTATAAACTAAAAACTATTTTTAAAATTTACCAAATTTTGTGGGTCTAAAATGAGCAATAAGATCAGTTCAAATTTTTTTTTAAAGGAACTACAACGTAAGAAATTACACTTTTATCATGATGATAATATAAAAAATTGTATTTGTAAATTGTTGGTCTGGATTAAAAACATTTTGAAAAAGTGTTTTGGAGAAATTTTCTTTCTTTCATCACCTGTCATAAGATCAGCTTGAATGAAGGGGAATTAATTAAACCACCTGAATGATTGAACCTTTCAGGTGCTGCAAGTATGGATGTCCACCCTAGAGGTATACTGAAGAATGGGGGAGAGGATCAGGGGGAGGACAGCTACCTGTTTTGTAATGTTCCAGAACATCACGACCTGGTAACATTCTCTGCAGATTTTTTAATTCTTTTTTTTTGGTTACTATTTTTGTATATGCACATGCCTCTAATAGTCTGAGATAACATGGTCAAGTAGTAGAGCACACTACTGCTAACCTGAAAGTCTGGGATAACATGGTCAAGTAGTAGAGCACACTACTGCTCACCTGAAAGTTCTTAGATTCAAGTCTTTCAAATGGTAACTTGTAATAATGTTATAAATGTAAAAGTAATATTCCCATGCAATATTTGTAGGAGGATTACATTACTGAACTTCAAGAAACCATCAGAAAGTTGAAGCTGAGGCTCTCTAAGGAGAAGGTAAGCAATTTTAACTGTGGCCACACAATACTGTAACATTTGTTGTAACATTTGTTTGTTTATGGAAATGTTGGTTTGTTGAAATGTTTGTTTGGTTGGTGTTAAATTTGTTTGTTGTAACATTTATTTGTTTGTTGTAAAATTTATTTCTTGTAACTTGTTGGTTAGTGTAACATCTGTTGTCATCAATTTTGTAATGGAGCTTACTTATTATTATTATTATTATTACTTATTATTACTTTTTAAGTGTAAAAAACAATTTTAATACAGTTTGGTATTCATTCATAATAGACAAATTACTTATTGTATTAAGTTCATTGACTGTATGCATATACAAGTTCTACCTGCATATATAAATACATTTAAGCTATTGATACAGTTGCTTGTAGAATATTCTGTAGTTTTCATTTGATGTTTTATTTTTGTACCACAGGAGTTCCAAGAAGAAACAGCTGAACATGAAGACAAGAAAATGATTAAAAAACTTCTACATGAACTTAAGGTAAAATTTCTTTGTTGTTTGAAAATTAGTGTACATTAAGGCTTAACAAAAGAGATAACTGTAAAACATATACAAATATATAGGAAGTGTAAGAAATGTATGAACATCATGATCAGAGTTACCTTGAATGAAAAGAATATAGCAATTCTTCACCATTGAAGTTTGTTTGTAAATTGGTTTTAAAAATGCTTTAAGGATCGTCGTAGTGAGTTGGAGGGTGTGATGGAAGTTTGTAAACTGGTTTTAAAAATGCTTTAAGGATCGTCGTAGTGAGTTGGAGGGTGTGATGGAAGTTTGTAAATTGGTTTAAAAATGTTTTAAGGATCGTCATAGTGAGTTGGAGGGTGTGATGGAAGTTTGTAAATTGGTTTAAAAATGTTTTAAGGATCGTCGTAGTGAGTTGGAGGGTGTGATGGAAGTTTGTAAATTGGTTTAAACATGTTTTAAGGATCGTCGTAGTGAGTTGGAGGGTGTGATGGAAGTTTGTAAACTGGTTTAAAAATGTTTTAAGGATCGTCGTAGTGAGTTGGAGGGTGTGATGGAAGTTTGTAAACTGGTTTAAAAATGTTTTAAGGATCGTCGCAGTGAGTTGGAGGGTCTGGACCTGGCCATTGAGAGACAAAAACGAAATCTGTGGGAGATGAAAAAAGATGAAAGTGACTTGAGGAGGGAGAAGAAGAAAGCTCACAGTGAACTCAACTATTTGAGAAAGAAAAATGACAAAAAGGTTTTTATTCGGTAATGTCAATTTATATTTTAGTTGTTAAACTTGGCTGACATGTATGTGATAATTAATTATAATACAATTATAAAGCAATAACTTTAATTGTTGTTTATAAGTATTTGTAACTTGGGGATAAGAAAGAGAAAATAATATGAAGTTTTAGATCACTTTATCTTTTTTTTACCACTTATCTGTACGTGTGTATTCAATCATTTGAACATAATTTGTGAAGCGTATTGAACAGTTTATTAAACAAAAGCAATTTGAATGAAACAAAAAGTTTTGACACATGTTACTTGATGGATTGAGGCATATATGCACTTTAACTTCACAAACTAGGCTTATTGGGGATTTAGTAGAAAAATCTAATACAAAAGAACATGTAACATACAATTAACATTTGATGAAAATATTTGTCGCAACAAGATGTAATAAAAACAATATATAATAAGTTGTCGTGCTTTGCATAACAAACATACTTGGGTTTTAAAAAATTCACTTTTGCATTAACTTTAAAAGTAATTATTTAAAAAATGAGTTGTTGATGTTTCCATATGAAGTAAATATAGTTTTCTTTGTGTTTGTAGTCATAAGCGAGCTTTAGATGACAGCTTCATTGAAGAAATAGAAAGATATCGACTAAAGCACATAACAGATGAGCTCCACTGTTTACAAAAAACTCTGGCCAAAAGACAAGCTCAGCTGAAGGAAGCTGAGAGAAATCTCAAGGAATGTAACTCTGAGTTGAGGGAGGCTAAAGACCAGGTAGGTAGCTTAGTACATCAAGTTACCAGTGTGTGAGAAAATAATTATATCAATGCTATCAATTATAAAATCTTAGTGCATCAAGTTACTAGTGTGAGAGAAAATCATTATTTATATCAATGCTATCAATTATAAAATCTTAGTGCATCAAGTTATCAGTGAGAGAGAGAAAATCATTACATCAATGCTATCAATTATAAAATCAAAGCTAGTTGTACAGTACATTGTTGTTCTAAAATAGGCTCAGCCTTAACAATCCATCTGATGTATTAGTATGGACAAGTGTTGCTTAGGTCTAGTCAAATATTGAAGAGTTTTAAAACCATAATGCCTATGTTTGACCATATTGTCAATTGGTAGATTTTGCAATGCTCCAATGTTTGGCCTATGGGTAGATTTTGTAATGCTCCAATGTTGGACCATGTGGCCTATGGGTAGATTCTGTAATGCTCCAATATTTGACCTATTTGGCCTATGTGTAGATTCTGTCATGCTGCAATATCTGACCATGCTCCAATATTTGACCATTTGGCCTATGGGTAGATTCTGTAATGCTCCAATATTTGACCATTTGGCCTATGGGTAGATTCTGTAATTCTCCAATGTTTGGCCTATGGGTAGATTCTGTAATGCTCCAATATTTGACCATTTGGCCTATGGGTAGATTCTGTAATGCTCCAATATCTGACCATGCTTCAATATTTGACCATTTGCCAGACTCGTGAAACAGTGAAACGTTATGATGATGTAACCAGCAGCCTCCATCAGGCCATCCAGGAGCACCAGGAGATTGAGAAAAGATCCAATGATGTGGCTGTGGAGCTGGTCAAAGCCTCGGAGCAGCTGGCCATCTTGAGGGCTGATGTCAAGGATATAGACCACAAGAGAAGTCGCCAGGAAAAAATTCTCAGGGATATCAATAGGGTGATTCAAACATTTTTCCTGTTTTTAAATTTATTTACCATTCACCTTATAAGTGGTAACCATAGAAAAAACTTTTGAAGTCAATAAATGTAAACAAAGGCGTTCTAAAACTATGTTTGTTAAAAGAATATTTTGACTTTCCCAGATCATATCTAAAAAGGACAAGGAGTTCCAGGAAGTTAACACTAAAGTGAAATCAGCAACAGAAAGGTAGTTAGAGAACTTGTTTGTAGTACTTGTTGTACAATCCATTGATCTTGTCTTCTTGTAACAACACATTAAACCTGTGATGTCCTTGTTTTATTGACTTGTCTGTTTGCTCCACCAGCCTACAGAGGCTTGTTGTACAATCCATTCATCTTGTCTTCTGTTAACAAAACTGTGATGTCCTTGTGTTATTGACTTGTCTGTTTGCTCCACCAGCCTACAGAGGCTTGTTGTACAACCCATTCATCTTGTCTTCTGTTAACAAAACTGTGATGTCCTTGTGTTATTGACTTGTCTGTTTGCTCCACCAGCCTACAGAGGCTTGAGGCAGACGTCATCATACACAGCCAGCGTGAGAAGGAAATGGTGGAGGCCATGAGAGACAGTGAAGATGTCATAGCCAAACGCCGCGCAGAGATTCAAAGAATGAAAGACCAGGTGGGTTAAATTTTTTGTTGCTGGTACTTTGTGAAATCTACAGGAGGAATCAATTAAAAACTATACCAATGTACATTTTGTGATACAGTACAACAGGGAAACTCAGTCAAACATTTTGTGATACAGTACAACAGGGAAACTCAGTCAAACATTTTGTGATACTGTAATTAAAACAAGAACTTATTATCTTCATTTGAGCAGGGAGCTTTTTCTACAAAGAAACTGCACACAAACCATTGATGAGTTGTTTTACTCAGTTCATTTGTCAGGATGTAAGAGTGTATTCACTAGTAGTTTAAATTACAAGTTCTAGACCGCAGCACTTCTAGGCATGCACACAAACACATTTTATTCACATTTTAGCTTAGAATTGTTATCCTGCATCACTATTGCTTATTATAAATTTAAAAATGTTATGTTAAAACACAGAAGTTTTACAAAACCTCACTAATGCTCCCCACCCAATCCACTTATAAAGTACAACAATGTACATTTCCTATTGATTGTTTGATCAAAAAATCTAAAATAAATCTACTGTTCCATAACCATTCATTTCTGTCCTATTACCCATGCTCTCCAGTTAATGAGGATAAATTCAGCAACATCTCAGAAGGTATTCATTCATATTCATGTGATGGTTTTAAAGGCAGTGTTAAACAGTCCTACCCACATTTGGCAGACATTGCTCTGTGTTGTTGAGTTCCTGAGTTTGTTAGCACAATCTTGTATGCACTAAATCTAACCAAATGCATGCGTAAACTATTTCATGATTGGTTGTTAAATCAACTGTTTTTTATATTTTATTGTGCAGATAATTGAAACAAAGTGTCAGAGTACTTATTCTAACAGTGTTGGCATTCATACATATGGTTGTTGCTAATTACGTTTCAAATAATCTTAAAAAAAATGCTAAAAGATTAATGGAGTTTAACCAAAAGCTTTGAATGTTGTTTACAGCATTGAGTTTGATGTTTGAAGCAGCACACTCCTTTCTTAACAATCTGTCTTCTATGTTTTATTTTGTCAGATTTTTATATTTTAAAAATTACACCTTTTTGAATATGAAAGTTAAATGTAATATTATAATAATAGCCTTGTCATATTAAATCAGTATTATGCTGTTAGAAAAATATTTAAAGATATGGTTTTATGGTTTTCTAAAAAGGCAAGCTTTAATCCTTAATTTCTCCATTTAGTTTTCCTTTGTTGAATATTCTTAAAAAAGTAGAGAAGTAATTTAAAACATGATGCGAAATAAAAACTGATTGAATGGTGTTTTTCAAATACAACAAAGTAGACAATTATTTGACAAAAATTTTAGGAATTTAAATGATGTATTTCAGATAGAACAAAGTAGACATAAATTATAGGAATACAAATAATGTATTTCAGATATAACAAAGTAGACATAAATTATAGGAATTTAAATGATATATCTCAGATAGAACAAAGTAGTCATAAATTATAGGAATTTAAATGATGTATTTCAGATAGAACAAAGTAGACATAAATTATAGGAATACAAATAATGTATTTCAGATAGAACAAAGTAGACATAAATTATAGGAATTTAAATGATATATTTCAGATAGAACAAAGTAGTCATAAATTATAGGAATTTAAATGATGTATTTCAGATAGAACAAAGTAGACATAAATTATAGGAATACAAATAATGTATTTCAGATAGAACAAAGTAGACATAAATTATAGGAATTTAAATGATATATCTCAGATAGAACAAAGTAGTCATAAATTATAGGAATTTAAATGATGTATTTCAGATAGAACAAAGTAGACATAAATTATAGGAATACAAATAATGTATTTCAGATAGAACAAAGTAGACATAAATTATAGGAATTTAAATGATATATTTCAGATAGAACAAAGTAGTCATAAATTATAGGAATTTAAATGATGTATTTCAGATAGAACAAAGTAGACATAAATTATAGGAAACCAAATAATGTATTTCAGATAGAACAAAGTAGACATAAATTATAGGAATTTAAATGATATATTTCAGATAGAACAAAGTAGTCATAAATTATAGGAATTTAAATGATGTATTTCAGATAGAACAAAGTAGACATGAGCTAGAGAAGCTTGACCAACAGATTGGCAGGAAGAAAACAGAGCTGCAGTTGGTCCATGAGACACAGGAGAGGAAGCAGCAAGAGTACAACAACATGCTGCAGGATATTGAGGCTGACATCACGGCCAAACACAGGGAGATCAAAGTCAGTGATGGTTGTAGTTTTTTAAATTTAGGGCTGACATCACGGCCAAACACAGGGAGATTAAAGTCAGTGATGATTGTAGTTTTTTAAGTTTAGGGCCGACATCACGGCCAAACACAGGGAGATTAAAGTCAGTGATGGTTGTAGTTTTTTTAGTGTAGGGCTGGGATCACGGCCAAACACAGGGAGATTAAAGTCAGTGATGGTTGTAGTTTTTTAAGTTTAGGGCTGACATCACGGCCAAACACAGGGAGATTAAAGTCAGTGATGGTTGTAGTTTTTTAAATTTAGGGCTGACATCACGGCCAAACACAGGGAGATTAAAGTCAGTGATGATTGTAGTTTTTTAAGTTTAGGGCCGACATCACGGCCAAACACAGGGAGATTAAAGTCAGTGATGGTTGTAGTTTTTTTAGTGTAGGGCTGGGATCACGGCCAAACACAGGGAGATTAAAGTCAGTGATGGTTGTAGTTTTTTAAGTTTAGGGCTGACATCACGGCCAAACACAGGGAGATTAAAGTCAGTGATGGTTGTAGTTTTTAAAATTTAGGGCTGACATCACGGCCAAACACAGGGAGATCAAAGTCAGTGATGGTTGTAGTTTTTTAAGTTTAGGGCTGACATCACGGCCAAACACAGGGAGATTAAAGTCAGTGATGATTGTAGTTTTTTAAGTTTAGGGCCGACATCACGGCCAAACACAGGGAGATTAAAGTCAGTGATGGTTGTAGTTTTTTTAGTGTAGGGCTGGGATCACGGCCAAACACAGGGAGATTAAAGTCAGTGCTGGTTGTAGTTTTTTAAGTTTAGGGCTGACATCACGGCCAAACACAGGGAGATTAAAGTCAGTGATGGTTGTAGTTTTTAAAATTTAGGGCTGACATCACGGCCAAACACAGGGAGATTAAAGTCAGTGCTGATTTTTTTTTTAAGTTTAGGGCTGACATCACGGCCAAACACAGGGAGATTAAAGTCAGTAATGATTGTAGTTTTTTTAAATTTAGGGCTGACATCACGGCCAAACACAGGGAGATTAAAGTCAGTGATGATTGTAGTTTTTTAAGTTTAGGGCTGACATCACGGCCAAACACAGGGAGATTAAAGTCAGTGCTGGTTGTAGTTTTTTAAAATTTAGGGCTGACATCACGGCCAAACACAGGGAGATTAAAGTCAGTGCTGGTTGTAGTTTTTTAAATTTAGGGCTGACATCACGGCCAAACACAGGGAGATTAAAGTCAGTGCTGGTTGTAGTTTTTTAAATTTAGGGCTGACATCACGGCCAAACACAGGGAGATTAAAGTCAGTGATGATTGTAATTTTTTAAGTTTAGGGCTGACATCACGGCCAAACACAGGGAGATTAAAGTCAGTGCTGGTTGTAGTTTTTTAAAATTTAGGGCTGACATCACGGCCAAACACAGGGAGATTAAAGTCAGTGATGATTGTAGTTTTTTAAGTTTAGGGCTGACATCACGGCCAAACACAGGGAGATTAAAGTCAGTGCTGGTTGTAGTTTTTTAAAATTTAGGGCTGACATCACGGCCAAACACAGGGAGATTAAAGTCAGTGCTGGTTGTAGTTTTTTAAGTTTAGGGCTGACATCACGGCCAAACACAGGGAGATTAAAGTCAGTGCTGATTGTAGTTTTTTAAATTTAGGGCTGACATCACGGCTAAACACAGGGAGATTAAAGTCAGTGATGGTTGTAGTTTTTTAAATTTAGGGCTGACATCACGGCCAAACACAGGGAGATTAAAGTCAGTGCTGATTGTAGTTTTTTTAATTTAGGGCTGCGATCACAGGGAGATTAAAGTCAGTGATGGTTGTAATTTTTTTAGTTTAGGGTTGACATTACAGGGAGATTAAAGTCAGTGATGATTGTAGTTTTTTAAATTTAGGGCTGACATTACAGGGAGATTAAAGTCAGTGATGATTGTAGTTTTTTAAAAATTTAAGGCCGACATCATGGCTAAACACAGGGAGATTAAAGTCAGCGCTGGTTGTAGTTTTTTAAGTTTATTCTATTTACCCTGTTTGTTTAGAGTGTTTTAAAGAGAAGGTAGACTTGAGCAAAGGGGGATAACAATTTAATTAACAATAAGATCATAGATTTATTTTTAGCACTTTTTATATTTTAATATTTTCTAAGCAAGCCTTAAATTACTTACTTAAAAAATTACTTGTCATAGATTTGGAAAAAATAAAAGACCCAACAAGTTTGAATCTTTATAAGTAACAGGATAACATCATTCAAACCAATCTATTGCATGTGTGACCTTAATGTGCTAAACATATCCAGTACAATTGTGACTAAATAGAAAATGACTAATAATTCAACTGTTTTATTTACTAAAATTCATTTAAGTGAATTAAGTTAGAATGTAAGCAAAATATTTGTGTTGTTTACCTGCAGGATTGCAGAGAAGACATTGACAACCTGAACCACCAAAAAGCTGACCTGAGCGCCCACATCAAGACCAAGAGGGGGGAGCTCCAGAAAGTCAAGGAGGACATCGAGCAGGAGGAGGAGGTGCTACAGCACCTGATGAACAATGTCAACAAGAACAAGTCAGAGCTGAAGCACACCTACGAGATGCAGCAGATGGAGCAGACGGAGCTAGAGAACGTCAAGGCCCAGCACTCACAGAAGATGGTGGAGCTGGAGAAAACTCATAGAGCTTTGTTGGAGGTGAACTAGCACAGTCTGAGCTTAACTAAACTCATAGAGCTTTGTTAGAGGTGAACTAGCACAGTCTGAGCCCATTTTTTACCCCAGGGTTGGAGGTGAACTAACACAGTCTGAGCCCATTTTTTACTAAGGGTTGTCTTCTTCTTGGTACTTTATTGTATTTATTGTTGGACGCCATTTCCTCCAACACAATTATGTATTACCTTTAAACCTGTTTTGCGCCATATAGGCCATTGACTCCAATATCAGCCTGCTTTTCTTTTTGGATTGCTTTCATAGCCTTTGTCAATCTAAGAACAATCTAAAAGGCAGCAGTTGTTTGATTTTTAAGATTTCTCTCCTAGATGAGTTACTGTCTGGTGGGTTTAAAATCTGAACTTTTCCAAGTATCAACCATGAGCTTTATTGACTCATCCCTAGGCCATTTGATGTTCATTTTGTTATCCTCATATACATTTTAAAATCAATGCAGAAAACTGTTTAAAAACCATTATCTGAGCAATATCTGAGTTTTAATGTATACCTTTCCAGATATACTAAATACCTTTGGTGAAAATCATAAAAAAGTTTTTTTTTTACTAAAAACTTAAAGATTTTGCTTTTAATCTAAATCAGACATCTTTAAAAAACATTCTGACACTGATGTATGCACAAATGAATAAATAACTAGAAAAGATTATAAGACTAACTCCATAGGTTTATTTTTAAACAACTAGATATGCAATAAAACTCAAACTGAGGTTAAATATCACTTATTGACATTAATTTAAATTAATTTTTTAAATTATTAAAATCATTTGTAAATAGTCTCACACACTATTTTTGTGGGTCAGTTGTTGCCATACTTTGGATTTGTTGAAAATCAGAATCTAAAATTATCACAGTGCAGTTTATAAGAAAATTTTAAAATTACAGGATAAAAAATAATTTAATTTGTCTCTTTAGGGAAAAAATGATCTGGAACAATTAAATGCAGACATAAGCCGTAAATCAGCAGAGGTGGAGAGATTAAGGCAGACAATTGAGAGAGATCGTCTGGAAGTTGATCAGCTGAAGAGTGAAAAACAGAGTCTGGATGACAGGATAGCAACTCTAGTCAGGGAGAGGGATATGTTGGATGAGAGCTGCAAGAATCTTGATGACAGGATCAATAACATGAAGAGGTATCAGGGGAGGCTACCTTGTCTTGACGTGTTGCTAATTTTAAATGATAGAAGACTACTGTTATTTACAATTAGATAATGTATAGTTGGAGTAGAAAAACTACACAATAAAAATTTTGGGTTCTTATAAAACTGATTGAAGTCTTTGACAGACACTAGTGTAAGGAGAAAATAAAATGACTTTGATGCCATTTAGTAATCAGCATCTTTGACTTTTTTAGCTTTTGTTTTTACTTTCCTAACGTAACAATTGAGTCAATTGTATTGTACAATATTAGGAATCAGAGAATAATGGAGGAGAAAATGGATTCAACAGGCAGTCGACTAGAGATGTTAGAAGCAGAACTAAGAATTAGGGAAAGGGAAATGGAAGACGCAGACATTCAAAAAGAAATTATGCAGAAAGATATTCATACTTTAAAAGAGACAGTTAAAGGTAATCTTATTAATGCATTTATTCAACAAATGTTTGTATTTATCTCTTATCTTTTCATCATTAGGTTTATATTACACATTTAATACAATTACCATTCAGATAGATCTATTGCAGGGGTCGGCAACCATTTGAAGCGGAAGAGCCAAAAGCTACAATTTTCAAAATTTCCCTGGCTTTAAAGAGCCACTAACATTTTTTTATTTCAAATATTTTATTTTTTATTAAGATTATTAGTATTTGTTCAAGGAGCTGGAGAGCCGCATCTTAATATCAAAAGAGCCGCATGCGGCTCACGAGCCGCAGGTTGCCGACCCCTGATCTATTGGAATAATGCAAAATGATGGATGCACATATTTGTATAGTGTTGGAGAATTAGTCCTAAGAAACATATTGTTAGTAAAAATATTTGGGGTGGCAATGTTGTATTGACTGCTGTCTAAATATTATACACTTCTTAAATTACATTTTTTCTTTTTCAGAGAAGAAACAAGAACTGAAGTCTTTGAATAGTACCATAAGGGAAGCAGAAGAACAAATGAGAGGAATAGAGCAGGTATGTTCAAGCAAAGTCAGCTACTTCATCTTGAGATACAAGCCTTGACTATATTTGTTGTTAGATTAAAATTGGAAGAAAGATGAAAGAAAAACACAATTAGATCTTTAATGCCAAGTGTAAATTACTGTTGACTATGCAGTTTATGTAAGTTTTTGCCTTATTTTACTGAGGAGATTTTTGTTTCAGGATGTTAAGCACACCTTCCACCAAAGAGATGAAGCCAAGCAGGAACTAGAACGGCTGAATGAACAAATTCGCCAGAGCTCCAACGCTCTAGAGGACCACGTGCAGCAGGAGAAAGGGAAGTTGAAAGAACTGCAGGAACTGCTGAGAATTTTGTCTGAACATGAAGGGGAACACCAGGAGGTTACCACTGTGAGAAACATTGTTTTGTTAAAAAACAGAATTTTATTTGTATTGTTTTATGAAACAATACGTTTAAAAATGATGATGTCTTTGTCTGATTCAGATTTTAAACAAGCTGAGGAAGGAGGTGGAGAGGGAAGAGAACAAGCTGAACCGGGTAAGTGTGTCACAACATCTCCTAGCACTGGCTTTAACATGCACACTATTTGGTTATGGTGGCAATGTGATTGGTTCATTTTGTGAGTTTTTCTTGCTAAATATTGCTTCTCATTTTATTTACATTTAGTTTGAATTTTTCTGCAACATTTTTCTTAATTTTTAATTAAAAGTTATGGTTGAGGGAATTTTTAAAAAAATATTTTCTAATAAAGTTTTATGCGAGTTTGTTAGTTGCAGTTAGCCATATTGCATATTACACACATATTCAAAAAAGCTTTTATCTCTAGAATACCTGTAACTTGTAAAAAGAGGATAAAAAAAAATTGGGGGAATTTTTATACCAGTGTCCGATAATAGAATCTTCTTTAAAAAATGGGTTTTAGGTTACTGGTAGTTAACTAAATACACACATGGCTGCTAATGTAAATGCTAACAATGTCCCTTACCCTAACCCAAACCCTGGTCCTACCATACTTTCTAACCATAAAATTAGTCGAGAGTACAATACTACTAACAACCCAATACACCTATTTTATGGAAGAGTCTATTGTCGGACATTGGTATCTAAAAATCCCCTAAAAAATCAAAAGTAAACTAATTAATGTAATGGTCCTTATAAAAAAAACCAAATTATTTTTCAAATTCAGTGATCTTTAAATTAATTAAATGAGTTTGATAATGTTTAAATCATTCATTCATAGACATTTACTTCAGCACTTATTTATTTTAAATAGGTTTTATTCTAATATTTAATGCTAGAGCAAAAAAAAATCATTTGGAAAAAACAAAATCTATTGGACTCTCAAGTAATGGTAGACTTGATAGTTAATGATGTGGTTGCACTTTCAGCTGGTGAGCAATGCTAATTCTGATCTTCAAGCAGTGAGAGATGAACTCACATTGAAAGAAGAAGAGCTTAAAGCAATGAGGGATGAATATAATGAATTGCAGGCAATTATATAGCAGTAACATCACTAACACACTTGTATCACAAGTTTTTCATTAGCATTTACTAACAATTTTTTTTTATAAAAGTCTACCTTTTAAATTATATCTAAAAACATTTAATTAAACTTGAAATACAATTCATGTTCATTAGTTATGATAAATGATGAAGTTACAAGGTTTGTACAAATACTCTGTTATAAATGTAGTACTCAGCCATGGCCTAAAATATTGTTTGGAGCTTGCTAATTCTTGAAGTCAAATGAATGGGTAATTTATTTAATATAGATTAACGATATTAAAGTCAACCAAATATAATAAATAGCACACATTCTGTAAAAATTCCTTATTGGCAAGTGCTTGTCATACAACTGATGAACAGTGTGGATCTATATTTTCCAACTAGAATGTAAAATGGCTTAAGTGTTTGATTAACTCAGTCATTATTGTGTGATTGTTCTTGGCACCTGGGTCTTCAGTTTCTTATCTTTATTAGATGATAAAACAGTTGTATTCTAAAAACAAGGATCAACCATTTTTTGTTTGTTTTCTAAAAGGCATCTTTAGGAATATTTTACTTAATTTCAGTACTAAAATGTATCATTAAATAAAAAACATGTTTATGTTAAAATCATATTGCCATAATTAATGCATAAACATTGTGGTTTTGTAAAGAATGTTTCTTTTTTTTATAACTAAAATTGTATGTTATGATGTTGTTTTTAAATGTGATTATACTAATTTATCTTGTTTTTTTCACTAGAAAAAGTGTGATGAACTCCAGTACAATGAGGCCAAGTTTAAAGAACTGAATAGAACCTGCCAAAACTTAGGTAACTGTTTCTACCAATCTGGTTATTTATCAAGTTTAATTGTACTGACTTATTTTCAAATCTTCAAAAACTTGGGTTAAACACTTTATGCTGGTAGTTACCAGTGTAGGAATTGGTACACTGTTTTATAGGAATTGGTACACTGTTTTATAGGAATTGGTACACTGTTTTATAGGAATTGGTACACTGTTTTATAGGAATTGGTCCAGTTTTATAGGAATTGCTGCACTGTTTTATAGGAATTGTTGCACTGTTTTATAGGAATTGGTACACTGTTTTATAGGAATTGGTGCACTGTTTTATAGGAATTGGTGCACTGTTTTATAGGAATTGGTACACTGTTTTATAGGAATTGGTACACTGTTTTATAGGAATTGGTACACTGTTTTATAGGAATTGGTACACTGTTTTATAGGAATTGGTACACTGTTTTATAGGAATTGGTACACTGTTTAGAATGTTTTTATAACAGCATTTCTTGAACTAAGTAGGACAGTGTTCCAAAACTGAAACCAAATGTAGTTTTTTAAAATTGATACATGTTTAACTAAGTAGAGCTATGTTGCTCCGAAAAAATGGAACCAAATGAAGTTTTTATACTTTGAGCAGAAGAAGATCTGAAAGAACACAAGTTGGAGAAGTCTGAGCTGACCAAAGCTTTATCAGCTTCATATGAGGAGACACAGAGGCTGCACAAGGAAACTTCTATTGTAAGATTTGCTTTCTGGACTGGTCTTAGATGCACTGCTGTTTGATGTACAGTCGCACATTGCTTTGTTTAGGGGCATCACATTGCTATTTTACATCTCATAGGAGCATCACATTGCTATTTTACACCTTATAGGAGCATCACATTGCTATTTTACACCTTGTAGGAGCATCACATTGCTATTTTACACCTTATAGGAGCATCACATTGCTATTTTACATCTCATAGGAGCATCACATTGCTATTTTACACCTTATAGGAGCATCACATTGCTATTTTACACCTTGTAGGAGCATCACATTGCTATTTTACACCTTATAGGAGCATCACATTGCTATTTTACACCTTATAGGAGCATCACATTGCTATTTTACACCTTATAGGAGCATCACATTGCTATTTTACACCTTATAGGAGCATCACATTGCTATTTTACACCTTATAGGAGCATCACATTGCTATTTTACACCTATTAGGAGCATCACATTGCTATAACAGTTTTTTTAGAGGCAACACATTGCTTGTTTCACAGCACATTTCTATTCCTATACCTACACATTTCTGTTCCATTAGTTATAGAAAAGGGTAAGATTTGTTTGTTTGAAACCTAAATTATTCTTATGAAAATGCACTGAAGTGCTAATTGCAGATTTCAGAATGACATGTTTAAATAGCTAAGTAAACTCTAAACTTTTTTCCATCCTGCATTTTAAATTGTGCACCTTTATGTAGCCTACCTGTTTTTTTTTTACCTGACTGTGTTGTCTAGATGCAAGAAAAAATGGCTAAAGAAAGAGCAGAATTTGAAAATGCTTTAAAAGATTTGCAACTTAATCTTGAACAAGCAAAACAGGTAAACTTGGCATGCTAAAGTTTAATGATCCAAATATTTTTGAGATTACTTAAAAACAGAATAGATTCATGGATCAACTTTTTAAAATGATGAAATACTGTACCCTCAATATTCTGATTTTTAATCTGCTTTTATTTATCATATAATTTTGTAGATATACTTTTCTTTTTCCTACACAGGCAATTTTGTTTTATACTTTCCTAAAAAATCTTTACTTCAATAAAAGTGTTGTTATTTATTTATCTGAACTTTCATTGTAAATATTTTTAGTGTTGTGTAATAATTTCACACACTTTATTTTTAAAAATAAATATGTTTAATAAAAATAACAGGAAGTGAAACAGGTTGAACATAGATCATCCAATCAAGTTGCAGAGCTTCAGTCATTGGCTGAAAAACATTTTAATAGAGCAAATAGTTTAGAGGCTGAACTGTTACAAACTAAAAAGGAAGTTTCTGTCACCAAAAAGCAGGTCAGAAAGCAAAAGTGATTTTTGAGTTTGAGAATTGCAATTTTATTACTACATTTATATTGGCCTACATAGTGTGTGTGTGTGTGTGTGTTTTACTTCATATTTTAATGATTATATTTGTTTGTTAATGGCTTGTATACATTTTTACTTTTACATAATAGAAATATTTAAAAGTTGTTTAAAATTTGCTGTGGTTGATAATACTGCTAGTTGGTTTGTGGCTTTGATTTCTAGTTAGTTGGTGTAAGTTTTTAATTTTTAGCTTTACAATTATCTATTATGAAAACACATATTGCCTTTAGATTTTGATACATTAGTTTTTACTTCCACATTTTTTATAAAATTTTCACAATTTTAATTTTAACTTGAAAATGTTTACATTTTACCTACAACGTGGAATCTGCTATGTGTAAAAAAAAGCAATAGTCGGGTGGTAAGTGAATTTGTTAAGAAAATATTTTGACACAAAGTTTCTGTTTTGCATGAATTCCATGATCTCCAGCTAATTTCACAAGAATGTTTAACAAAACGTCTTGATGCCATGTATGAAGCTCTTAACTGGAGCCAAGAAGATGTTGAGGAGATCTTTCAGCCCACACTGCAAGCAAAAGATGCTAAATCTGACCACCAGACTCTCCCAACTCAAATAAATAAAGTTAGGAACTCTCCTCCTGCTGAATGTCTCACACTTTAGAAAGTTTAAAACACCCAATAAACTGTTATACTAACTCTTCATATTGCTCAAATATTACTCATGCAAATATATCTGGGGGATTCTTCAAAGCTGCATTTACGTGGCAAATACTTCTCTTTGTAAATGATTAACTGTTTTTACCTCAAGCTTTAACTAACTTAACTATTTGTTTATCTCTTTAGTGATCAAACTCTAACAATAATATAACATGATGTAACACCCATTTAATTATTATTATTTATTATGGATAAAGTGTAGATATTTCATATTATTGTGCATACCTTATGAGTGCTCCATCAATAATGTGTGTATATATATATATATATATATATATATATATATATATATATATATATATATATATATATATATATATATAAATTATATTAAATATATATTTGTATACACACACACATATATATATATCGGATGACATATTTATTTATGTATATGCATGCATACATTTTTATGGGAAAAATTAAACACATGAATAAATAAGTGAAACAAATAATTAAGTAAGCTATCACTTTTAGTATTCTGTGTGTTTGCCCTAGCTAATACATCTATAGCTATGCTTCAGCTTGCTGTACTACCCACAAATCCCTAACATGTGTAGTAACAATTTTGTATTTAAGGTTTACATTTTTGTACATATAATTCATTTATTTTAACTTTGAAAAAAACATTTTAAAACTAATAACAAAATAAGTTTTGGTTATATGTTACAGTTAAACAGTTTACATTTATTTTGAAAATAATTTTGTTTTAAACTATGGTTTTTTTTTCCCGTTAATGTTCAAATATTTATGTTCTACCCACACAGTCTGATAGATCCTTGGAAAATAAAGAGAATCTGGCCACAGAGATCAAACACTTCCCCACTTTCACACCCCTGATACCTGACCCTGGCTTTCAGTTTGAGAGAAAGATGAAAGATACCCTGAAGGAAAGATTGGCAGAGGAACAAGATTATCTTAGGGTAAACAAGGTCATAGGCTGTTCTCTTGTTCTCAAGACTGGAGAAAAGTCTACATAGTTTACAACTGTTAAAATTACACATTTCAATCCACCTTTTCTTGTGGGCTCAGAAAGGTTGGGAATTCTAATGTCTTATTTAGATGTTCCCATTGTATTGTACATGTTTTTTGTAGATCATTTGTTCAGTTTATCCCAGTCTATTTGTTTATTTTATCCCAGTCTATTTGTTTAGTTTATCCCAGTCTATTTGTTTAGTTTATCCCAGTCTATTTGTTTAGTTTATCCCAGTCTATTTGTTTAGCTTGTCCAAGTCTATTTGTTTAGTTTATCCCATTATATTTGTTTAGCTTATCCCAGTTTGTTTGTTTAGTTTATCCCATTATATTTGTTTTATCCCATTATATTTGTTTAGCTTATCCCAGTTTGTTTGTTTAGCTTATCCCATTATATTTGTTTAGTTTATCCCAGTCTATTGTTTAGCTTATCCCAGTTTGTTTAGTTTATCCCAGTCTATTTGTTTAGTTTATCCCAGTCTATTTGTTTAGCTTATCCCAGTTTGTTTAGTTTATCCCAGTCTATTTGTTTAGCTTATTCCAGTTTGTTTGTTTAGTTTATCCCATTATATTTGTTTAGTTTATCCCAGTCTATTTGTTTAGTTTATCCCAGTCTATTTGTTTAGTTTATCCCAGTCTATTTGTCCCTAGTTCCAACTCAAGCAACAAGTACAGAGACACACAGAAACCATGGAGTCTGCTAGAATTAAATCAGAAGAAACAATTGATTGCCTTAGGAGAAAACTCAATGCTCTACAGGAGGTGACCTTGCCTTATATTTTATTTGTATTTTACAGTCATTGGATTATGGGAAGATAATAAGGATTACCATTTTAAAAAGATTAGATACATAATTCAGTGTGTATTGTACTTCTTAAAAAATTAAAGTAGCTACATTTTCTGCTTTATTTACGTGTTCAGTTTTATGAAATTGCAATGTTTTTTTTGTGTAAAATAATAATTACCTAACTCAAACTGTCAGATCCTGTGAAATCTGTAATTTCTACTTTTAAAACTTTCTGTCAAATCTGGTCAATTCCCTAATTTCTCTTATCTAATCCTGTCACTTCCCTAATTTCTCTTATCTAATCCTGTCAATTCCCTAATTTCTCTTATCTAATCCTGTCAATTCCCTAATTTCTCTTATCTAATCCTGTCAATTCCCTAATTTCTCCTGCAGGTTCTGTTCAACAAAAATCCTGGTACTGCTGTAAGAATACAAAACTTAGCCAGCCCAAGACAGAGATCACCAGCATACCAAAGAGATCTTCAGGATGGCAAGGTGGGTCTTTTGTATCAGTCAACATGTCTAGCACATTAGTCACATTATTCTTTCTGCTTATACCTTTAGTTCTGTCAGTGAAATTATCTCTACATGTTACTTCTTGTATACTAATGTGTATTCCAGCATCAGATACAGTGATATAAATATAACAATTGTAACAGACATTTCAACAATTCTAACAGACATTTCAACAATTCTAACAGACATTTTAACAATTCTAACAGACATTTTAACAATTCTAACAGACATTTTAACAATTCTAACAGACATTTTAATAATTCAAGCATTCTATCATTACTTATTGCCTGCTAGAAATACAAGTTGTTTATTAATTTCTGTTTGTCATTATTGAAGTGTTGTAAAATGTTGTAGTTTAGTTTAAGTATGATGAGCTAGTGTTTGGTTAATGAAGGTCCAAATGTCTCTGGCTACAGGGAAGAACAAGGTCACCAAGTCCATTAAATAGATCAGGTAGAAGCTACTTGACCCAAAGAAGGTCAAGGTCTTCAGACAGCTTAGACAATTCACTCAATTTAGAAAGGGGATGTAAGTCAAATCTTTCTTGTAATTGTTTACTTGTTTATTCTTAACATTTAGAAATATTTAATTGTTTAGTGTATTTATTTTAAAGTAAGATTCTGTGTGATTGCTAAAATATTTATGTTTCCATTTCAGTTCACTGATGTTTGTATTGTATTGGGGTTTTCTGGATTTGTCAAAAACTAACAAGTTGTATGCAGTTGATTGAAATGTTCAAAAGTTATAATGACCAGTATTTATTGCAAGACATTATTTATACCATAATTTAAATGTATACCTTTTCTGTATATTTTAATTTTAAAAAGAATTTTAGATCAAATATGGCTATTAAAGCAAAGGTTTGTTTACTTAATTAATTAATTAGGTCTACTATTTATTTAACCCTAATTTCAAAATATTTTTTTAGTCTTGGATTTTATATCTTTTTATGAAGAATTTGTATAAACTAACTTTTTTGGAAAGCCAAAAATTCTGGCCCAATAAAATATAAATTCAATGTTTTTTTTATATTACAATTTCATTTTCAATGTGTTAGCTGTTTGTGTACTTAGTGTCTCTTTTCTCAGTATATTGTCTTAACCATTAATTTTTTTTTAGTGGAGCATTACACACAGTAAATTTAATCAACTAAAATTACATATATATTTGTATATATATTTTATATAGTGATATATATTTTCACTTACAACTATTAATAGCTTCCGTCCATTGTAATTATTATTAGTTATTGATTTGCGCTATTAATAAGGTTAACAACTAGTTTGTTCTTGCCAGTTGGTTTTGTTTTTATTCTATACAAGTGTATTATACAAGTGTATTATAACCTTATATTGTATTACAACCAACTATAAACAAATAAGCCTTTTACCGTAATGTGATATACGCTTTTGTATAAGATTAATTACATTTTGACAGTTCTTTATTTTATACTGCTTTAGTTTTATTTTGCTACACTCAGCTAATTGTGATATTTTTAACCCATTTATAAATAGATGTTGTATAGTTCCTGTGTACAGGCACAAAATACTTGAGCAAGAGGCCAAGTAGGATGTTATGGCTGTCATGTTGGGTAGGCCATCATGCTTTTGTTCACACAAGCCATGATAGCTACAGGTGAATTAAGTACAAGTTGGTGTTGACAAGCATGACAACAGTTTTTGTGTAACACGCTGTGATAGTGCTGGATGATAACCCTTAAAAAACTGCATCCATTCCATAGTTTATAGAAGGTGTTAGTTAACCTGTTAAGTTTAGCTTAATTTTTTTAAAGTTATTTCTATCTGCTCAATACCACTGTTCTTATAACAGACGTATCAAGCTGGTTATCACAAAAATATCTGGCTGTTTTGTGGTTGAAATCAAGTGGTTTAGATGTCAGTATGATGCTTGTTCTGTGTGTAACCAAAGGTCAAATGTCATGTACTTCAAGTTGTAAATAAATAAATCTGATTGAAAGCTCTCATGTATTCTCTGATTCTCTTCTTTTATCTTTATTTGAGACAAGTAAACAAGTAAGTGTTATGATATTCTAGCTAGTGTAGATCAAAGTTTATAAAATTGTTTTTTAATTAATGAACAAAATTAAAAAAAAGCAGCTAGTTAATAGTGGTTGAAGTGGGGAAAAAACAGAAATCAACTTGATAAGATTTTGTTTGGTATTTTAATATTGTCTGATATTTCAGAGACAAGTGAGCACAAACAGACCTTTCATAGAAAACTAATAATGCATACAAATTGAGCTAATTCTAGTCCTTACTTTATAGTAGGCATTATTTTATAACATGCTTACTCTCTTGTCCAATGCCAATAACATTAAACAAAAAATGTTAGTATGCAGATCTGATTCTATAAACACGTTTAGAAATACTCACTTGTAAACACAAGTTAGCTAATTAACATACCTCCCACACATTGTATTTATTCAGATAAATGGCAGTGATGAATAATATTAAAAACTAAAATATGGGCGTGGTCAGGAATAAAATGTCAATCTAATTCTGTGCTTACATCATTAGTCTGTAGGCCAGACAGCAATTAGTGACTTTCCTGGGGATGTCTTGTGGTAGTTTATAGGTTCTCCTAACAACATTCCTGTCTGTGTTTTAATTACATCATCAAACACAGGTTAGGTTAGCTTATTTATAAAGTAGATTTATGTTTCATGTTATAAAAATGTACATTTTAGTAAGAAACCTTTATACAAAACGGTACAAATTAATTATTTATTAGTGTAATACTTCATGAAAATGTGTATGATTATATAAATAATTATAACCTCAAATTTTCAGACAGGACAATGATTATTTTTAGGTAATTCAACATGGGTGTTATTTGCAGCAAAAAAATACAACGAAAATTACAACACGTAAGTGGTAGCAATTATTGCTATCATGAGGAAAACTATACATTATTAAAATGACTAAAAGAATATCAGACTTTGTAACCACAGTTTAGAGATGTAATGATCTGCTAACTTGGCAATGAGTCAATAAATAACCAAAATCAACTGGTATCAATGGTTGTGTTTTAGTTCAAGTTTTGCAGTACAGCACTAAAAAAATCTGAGGTACCAGAGTAGCCTCCCATATCTTGTGTTCTGATCTGTAGGATATAAAGGTAGGTTGTTAGCATGCACAGACTTACATCAAGAAACATTCAAAATCCTTTCACATAAAGTTGTGTTTAGACTCATTGTGTGAGATAATTTTAGCACTTTTCTGTAACAGCACAATTTTTTTTTTAAAGAGAAAACTAATGTCAGAAATATGGAAATTAAAATTTTATGATGGTGACAAACCTTTCCACTTTTGATAACCTTGAGCAGAGATTCTTCAATTAACTTGGAGTGGTATTCCAGGTGCATGTGTTTGAGCATGTTACAGGCAGCCAGCAATGTGGCTGTTGGGTTGGCAATATTTTTACCTACAGCTTCAGCAAAGGCATGGCGAGCTCCCTGGGGAGACATGACAAGGTTCACACAGGTGCAGAAGTGGTTACAGATTTACTAAACATTTTCAGTTCAGGCTACAGATAAATTTAAACTGGGTTCATTTAGTTCATATAAAAATCTGATTAAATTGAGATCAATGTACAACAGCAGGTGGTTGTAAAAAAAAAGTGCTGAAAGTTTTGGTCACCTGCTCAAACACAGCCACGCTGGAGCTATAACATTCACCTGGCACCACACCTGCCCCACCCACCAAACCTGCGGCCAGGTTGTCCACAATGTTGCCATACAGGTTTGGCATCACCATCACGTCAAATTGGTAAGGGTTAGAAACCAGCTGCTCAGTGAGGTAGATCATTGCAATAGTATTAGTAAGCTTTCAAAGACATAAGTAAATACATTTTTTAAAAATAATAAGAACTGTCAAATATAATAAATCTTTATCCATTTATATATGGTAAGTGCTAATTAGTATATTAGAATCTTTACACCTAGAACTACAAACAAAATGAAAAATGTCAACACACAGCGCCAATTTTGAAGTGAAATTTACCTGCATACAACAGTTATCAATGATCATTGTTTCAAACTGTATTTTAGGGTAAAGTTTGGCCACATCTTCACAACAACGCATAAACAGGCCGTCCCCCAGCTTCCTGTTTGTTTAATAACAGATTCATGTTAGCATTGACATCAGAACGTACACATTAGCTTTATATTGGATGACCTGAGTCAAAACTTGGATCATGTTAGTCTAACATCCGAAGTTAGATAACATTAGTTTGGGATCAGAAGTTAGATAACATTAGTTTAAGATCAGAAGTTAGATAGCATTAGTTTAATATCAGAACGTACATGATATTAGCCTTATGTACAGCTGTAACCTTCTTACGCCCATGTCTCATTGCATAATCAAATGCAAACTTGGCAATACGCATGGAGTTCTTTTTTGTTACTATTTTTAGACATTCTATAACACCTGGAACACTCTGTAAGTAAAGAGAAAAAGGTTTAAAAACTTCATAGCTGCCTTTATGAGGTCTATATCCTAGCTATGCTGACACTAGACTGGGTTGACAAGACAAGTGGCAGACACTAACATGACACATAGCACACACTGACACACCACAGCAGCAGACACTGACATGACACATGGCACACACTGACATGACACATAGCACACACTGACACACCACAGCAGCAGACACTGACATGACACATGGCACACACTGACATGACACATAGCACACACTGACACACCACAGCAGCAGACACTGACATGACACATGGAACACACTGACATGACACATAGCAGACACTGACTTGACACAGCAGACACTTACATGACACATAGCAGACACTGACCTCATGTTCTAAAGCACTATACTCCCCCTCTGTCTGCTCCCTGATGATGACAAAATCCAAATTGTTGTGTCTTGTCTGAAAGCCTGGCAGACTCCTCACCCACACCACGTTAGCAAACAGATCCAGCTCACGTCTGGAATGGAGGAGCAAATCTGATGTAATGGTGGATTAGGTGATACTAATCTGATGTAATGGTGGATTAGGTGATACTAATCTGATGTAATGGTGGATTAGGTGATACAAATCTGATGTAATTTAGGATCAAGTGATACAAAAACTGATGTAATGTAGTTAAGTGATACAAATCTGATGTAATGTAGGATCAAGTAATGCAAATCTGATGTAATGTAGGATCAAGTGATGCAAAACTGATGTAATGTAGGATTAAGTGATGCAAAACTGATGTAATGTAGGATCAAGTGATGCAAAACTGATGTAATGTAGGATCAAGTGATGCAAAACTGATGTAATGTAGTCAAGTGATACAAATCTGATGTAATGTAGCATCAAGTGATACAAATCTAATGTAGCATCAAGTGATACAAATCTAATGTAGCATCAAGTGATACAAATCTGATGTAATGTAGGATCAAGTGATACAAATCTGATGTGATGGTGGATTAGGTGATACAAATCTGATGTAGCATCAAGTGATACAAATCTGATGTAATATAGTCAAGTGATACAAATCTGATGTAATGGTGGATCAAGTGATACAAATCTGATGTAATGTAGGATCAAGTGATACAAAACTGATGTAATGTAGTCAAGTGATACAAATCTGATGTAATGTAGTCAAGTGATACAAATCTGATGTAATGGTGGATCAAGTGATACAAATCTGATGTAATGTAGGATCAAGTGATACAAATCTGATGTAATGTAGGATCAAGTGATACAAATCTGATGTAATGTAGTCAAGTGATACAAATCTGATGTAATGTAGTCAAGTGATACAAATCTGATGTAATGTAGGATCTAGTGACACAAATCTAATGTAGGATTAGGTGATACAAATCTGATGTAATGTAGCATCAAGTGATACAAATCTGATGTAGGATTAGGTGATACAAATCTGATGTAATGTAGCATCAAGTGATACAAATCTGATGTAGGATTAGGTGATACAAATCTGATGTAATGTAGCATCAAGTGATACAAATCTGATGTAGGATTAGGTGATACAAATCTGATGTAATGTAGCATCAAGTGATACAAATCTGATGTAATGTAGGATTAAGTGATGCAAATCTGATGTAGGATTAGGTGATACAAATCTGATGTAGGATCAAGTGATACAAATCTGATGCAATGTAGGATTAAGTGATGCAAATCTGATGTAATGTAGCATCAAGTAATACAAAAACTGATATCTTCTATTTGTTTATTTGTTTTGTAAAAACAAATTGTAACCAAGAAGAAAGTGAACTGACCTGATCCTCATGTTTAGAGTTTGTAGGACTCCACCTTTAAATGTTGTAGGTGTTGTGATGATACCTTTCAGGCCAACTTTGTTTCTTTTGATTGACTCCACCACTGTCTTCAGGTCAGCACTAGTGTTGGGGGATATCTCACTAGAGAGTTTACAGTAACTAATTAGCACAAGTGTTGGGGGATATCTCACTAGAGAGTTTACAGTAACTAATTACCATTAAAGTTGGGGGATATCTCACTAGAGAGTTTACAGTAACTAATTAGCATTAAAGTTGGGGGATATCTCACTGGAAAGTTTACAGTAACTAATTAGCACTAGAGAGTTTACAGTAACTAATTAGCATTAAAGTTGGGGGATATCTCACTGGAGGGTTTACAGTAACTAATTAGCATCAAAGTTGGGGGATATCTCACTAGAGAGTTTACAGTAACTAATTAGCACTAGAGAGTTTACAGTAACTAATTAGCATTAAAGTTGGGGGATATCTCACTAGAGTTTACAGTAACTAATTAGCATTAAAGTTGGGGGATATCTCACTAGAGAGTTTACAGTAACTAATTAGCATTAAAGTTGGGGGATATCTCACTAGAGAGTTTACAGTAACTAATTAGCATTAAAGTTGGGGGATATCTCACTAGAGAGTTTACAGTAACTAATTAGCATTAAAGTTGGGGGATATCTCACTAGAGAGTTTAATTAGATGACTGGCAATTGTTATTGTGATCAAAATAAAACTGTTTTTTTTTCTATTCACCATTAAATCCTTTTTTTTTTTACAAATTATTAAAAACAATACTTAATCTGTTAAGAAGACCACAATTCAACCACTACATCATCTATTGCAGTTTGAGATGTAATTGATGCTTAGTTATAGCTATCTATTTTGTTACGACAGCCCACTAAAGATTAAAGGACATTCTCTGTTCTATTCAACAGAAATAACAAAAGTATAGCGCCAGTGAACGTTACATATTTTGTGTAAGTTGACATTGATGAAGCTTTACTGCTAAAATAAAAATGTACTAGCCTGATAAAAACTTCTTCAAATTCAATGGGTACCCCGGCTGTTTTAAAAACATCTCTGACTCCACCCATAAGTTCTGGACCAACTCCATCACCAGGAACTAGCGTCACTGTATGCTTGCCTGCTGGTCGTGATATGGGCTCAGCTATCTACATGAGACGTATACTTCATTTGAACATTTTCACACCATTATACACTCACATGTAATTAATGGATTTCATATTTCTTGACATGTATACATGTTTATTAGGGTACATTTTTCCAATTGAATATATAAGTTAAAATAGTTGTTTAACTGGTGTGTGCATTTAGGCTCCATTTTTATTTCAAACAAACATTGTAGTTTTCCTGTATTGGCTGGAGATAATAAAGCATCTAAATGATGAAGCAATCAATACCAAGAAATTAAAACAAGTTAAGTTTTTTGTCACTTTGAGATGAAAGTTAAATTAGGTACATTTATTCTTTACATATCAAATTATATTCTCATTTATATCACGGACAAACGAAATAGCAAGATTTAATATAGAGAGCTGGTAGTTGAATAGGTATTTTTAATATTAAAGGTAAGATACATTTTAACCATGGAAAATGTTTTGCCTCAAATTGAAAAATAAACACAAACATCAAGAAAGTTGATAAAACACATTTTAGTTAGAGGTTAAAAAAAATCTGGTCAATAATCAAATTATTGAAAGCAACCACTGAACTAAATATAAATTGTTTATCTGGTCTGTTTAATACTAAAATGAGGTAGTGCTTATTTCTGTAAATGGTAAACAAAATAAATAACACACTAATTTCCGCCAATGGGCTTTAAGGGAAATAAACACTGTGTTTACATGTTCTTAAGGTAGATGCTACAACAAATGCTTATTTCATTAATTCAGCTTCAGTTAGCTCCATTCAGACAACAGATTATGTTTCTGAAATCAGTCAAAATTCTCTTCCAAAATTTAAAAAATTTATTTGCTTACAAATAGAATCTAAATTTAGACTACTGTTGACCAAAATAAGCACTTCCATAAAATAAAGCTGTGGTCAGTTCCACTTTTATGTTACATAATTCAGCTACTTAAGAAAATAACAACATACAAGTGGTCCATGAGGCACTACATGAATACTACATTTATTTACAGCAGTCCTTGGGTTTTATTGTTTAAAACTAATTCATTGGTTAGTGGGTACATTTTGATGTTCAGTTACAAAGTTTCAAAATCTGAATTTCTATTTCTAAAATTAGAAAAATATGCATTACTGCAGTGGTTCCCAACCTTTTTCGAGTGGCGACCCCCTTTTATAAATAGTTAGTGACCCGCGACCCCCATAAAAATAAAAAGCCGAATTTAGTATGGAAAGTAATAAGCACTAAAATAAGATTTTCTAGAAGACTTTCAATATGAACTACTCTTGATAACTGTTTTAATACGATGTGTGAAATTGCATGCTATTTACTAAACATTCACTGTTAAGTTTTTGTTAACATCAACCTATGTCATTATCAACATTCAATTTACTTCTTAATTTTGTTTTTAATCAAAGAATAGTGTTGAAAGGCTATTCTCGAAAAGTCGATCAATTTTACGTTTGGGTATGAATGTTGAATAATACACCAAAATTGTGTGAGCAGTTTTTCATCTTAGGCGGAATCATTCTGCAAATCAAAGAATTCACCTTGTAATTCATCGGGAATGCTGGCAACATCAAGGGAAGTAGAGAATGGGTATTGCGTCAATGCAGATTCTTCTTCTTTCAGCTCAGAGAAATAGCGCCGCAGTTCGTTTTCAAGAGATTCAAGATGCCCAGAAATCGCTTCTTTCAAAATTTTAATTATCTCACAATCAGGTTCATCTACCATACTGCAGAGTTTTTCAAATGTACAACATTTCCAAGATTTATTTTCTTCGCCAATTTTGCAGCTTTGATAAAAATGCCCCGAGATTATTATGGAAAGTAATAATCCTCGTTCATTTTTCCTGAAGCTTCAGGTTAAGCTTACGTTGATGTTCGAATATATCTGCTAGGTATGATACTCTCTCCAACCACTCTATGTCGTTTTAAGTATACCAAAAGGTCTTGTTTCCTTTGCACTTCCAAGAACAATTTGATTTCAGATTTCAATTCAAAAACACGATTCACAACACTTCGTTTGACAGCCAGCGTACTGTAGTGTAGAAAAGCAGAACCTCGTGATCTATATTAATGTCTTTGCTCCCGACTAAATATAGAGTACGACTGTTACTTGCAATGGAGTCTTGATGACGAGGGCGTACTGGTAAATCATGCAGTGGCTAGTGAGCTAAATCTTTTCTGTTTTCTGAATGCCCGATTTTTACCTAAACCTGGATAGCGCACCATCAGTACAAACCCCCACAGCCGTTTTAACCAACTTTAATCTTCCAGTTAAAAAAAATGTATTTATTTTCTCCATGCTATTTCACAAAATAGCAACTCTTCTTTGCTATCATCTGAATAAATATAGACAAAGACCAGCAACTGCGAACACGAACTCACGTCTATTGATGTATCAACTTGAAAAGCAAACAATGGTGAACGCTTGATTTCATTAAAAATTTGTTATTTAATATCTACAGACACGTCGGCTACAAGCCGCTGAGTAGTATTATTAGGCAGAGATATTTGTTTCATCTTTACTGCACTGGAATCCCCAAGAATTAACTTCACTATCTTCAACATGCAGCGTTTGATGAGATTTTCTTCTATTGTGTGTTTTTTTTTTGTGCTTGGCATTTTCTATCGCAACTTCATTTGATGCTTGCGCTAATGCTGTATTTCCTTGGTAAAAACTTCCTGTTCGATCAAGTCTCTGACGTACGTTTGCAACTAGCTTCATGCTATATCTTTTTTGGTGTGTTCCGAATGACTCGTCTCAAATGACGTTTTAGTTTTGAAGATTTTATAAACTCGTGACTGAGAACAACTTTGCACAGTAGGCCTACGCTTTGCTTCTTCTCTATTTGAATTCCAGTGATGTTAGTAAAGCAGAACTGCAGATATTCTTCTAAATATTTATGTTTTGTTTCTCATTACTTAGGTTTAGTATATCAGTTGGCGACCCCCCAGAAAGCCCTTGGCGACCCCCAGGGGGGTCGCGACCCCCAGGGGGGTCGCGACCCCCAGGTTGGGAACCCGTGCATTACTGTATGTGATGTAAATAATAAATAAGTCATTAAACTATATTTTTCCAAGTTAACAATGACCATGCAACTCAAGTTTGAAAAGGTAACAACAAAACTACATTAAAAATAAACTTAGTAATCTTAATCTTATACCTTTCCACGAGTATTTTGACCCTATAAATTAAAAATAGATCATGAAGTGTAAATTTTATTTTACAAGAACAACGCAAACCTTTAATAAAATACATGCAAGTAATTCACACTAGCACAAGTTACCCATTTGTTTTTTATAACAATACATCCATGTTAATGTTTAGGGTTAACATGCCTGGGAATGTAGCTACACAATTGTATGTTTGAGTGTGAATCTTTTACTTTTCAGTAACCTTGTATACATATATAAAAAAGAATGAAAAATACAGTGGGTAGCCTTCTCCACTATTTGAACCTAGATCTACTTGCTATTATGACTAATGGATGTTACACTGACTGCAAAGATAAATATTCTATCTTCAATCAAGAAATCCTTTAACAAAGGGTCACGCCAAAAGATGGTTTTTAATTACTCTTATAGAAATTACAACAAAAAAAAAAACTCACCACAGCTTGTTGGTAGTGTAGGTCAGTATGAAATTTTCTTGAAAGTACACCAGCACACGGCTGAAACATCAACATATATTATAAGTGTGATTTTATTAAATCACTTTAAATTGCATATCAATAGTATAAATATTTGGAATTCCCTTTTTAGACCTAATGATAAATAGGGTAGATAAAGGAGAGTTCATCTGTTTTTTCTAATATAGCATATAAAGGGATGATATGCGTCAACATTATGCCCAGCCACCTTTACTTTCCCTAATGAGGTTCAAGTCCCCATCAAAGCTGGATAGACACAGAAACTTCTAATAGACACTCAGTCTGTGATAAAAACTTTTGACTAATTAATAATTATATTAATTATTAAGTCCATGTATGAGTTATGGCCTTCAATTTTTTAAATGTTTTATTAGGCTACTAAATTCAAATAATTTAGATTTCTAGATCTATTCACCAAATTTATTAGGGTCTTGGTAAAATGTGAGACACAAAATGGCAAGGTGGTAAAGTACGAGAAGGGTGCTAAAACTGCCTGTCATGTGACATTTTTTGTTTTTGCAATATAGGCCCTACCCCTAACTGCTTAATAGGCCTGGTGTGGGTAAACTGCACTCATATCTGTGAAAATTTTATTTCCAGAAACTTTGATGCAGGCTTCAATTTTTAAACACTTTATTTAAGTTTGTATTGTCATAATGTAGAACCTAGACGCTCGCCGCAAACGTAATTCAAGTCCAATGAATCTGATGTTTCAAAGTGTTTAGTACTAGACTGAGTTTTTTTATGAAGTGGGGTTTTCAAGATGTCAATCACAGAGTTTCTGTAGGTAGATCTAGAGTCAGTTTATAACTTAGGCTTGATGAAAATAAATAGAAATGTAGTCTTAAACTAAACAAATTATTTTTAAGTTCTCTACATTTGCAACTTCTATTACACTGATTTAAACATATTAGCTTATATTTCTGAATTATTTTCAGGCTTAGATTTTTAATTTTAAAAATATTTTTACACTATGTCGCTTCGATAGCAAAATCTAAAAAAAAACAAAAACTTTTTAATCCATGTCAACAATAATGATGTAAGTATTACGTCAAATCAGTCATGTCCATTGAATTCACTCTCAGTAGGCCAGTTGAGTAGGCCTATCCATTATAATAGTTAGGCCTATAATTATTACTAAATTTACTTAATTCAGTCCTATAATCTAGCTTGTCGCTTGACCTGAATTTTTTTTACTGTCGTCATGGTGGTGGTGGCTGCCGAAAATGACGATACTGTGATTCCATTTTTTTTAATAATGTTTCATGGTCATTTCAGAAATATGTACTCATAATCGTTATTTTTGCATATTATTCAAGGACACTGATCTAGTTTTAACAATGGACGATTAGTGTTTGATCAACATGCCATTTTTACATTTATTGGGTCTATTTGTTGAGAATATCAAACAGAACATAATAAAAGTAAGCAAAACGGGAATTGATGTACGTACAATAGTGTTGTGATTTTACTAGTAAAAAAAATACCCTGAAGTATAGAAAATTATGCCAATTCAATAGAGTCCTAATAAATTAATTTAATTAATACTAAGCCACTGTGACTATCAGTCATATCATTGTTGCCATTTGAAAACAAACACATCTTTTGACAAATCATTTTCTAGGCTACTGATTAACTTTGAAAATTATAATTGGATTTCAAATTAAAGTAATTAAAGGTAATTTACCGGAGGTAAAAGTGAAGCAGTGAATAAAATACGCTAAAATGAAAATATGGAAGCCGCATAATTAATGAATAACTGCCTTAGCTTAAGCTTCTTAAGTTATCTTATAACTAAGCATCCAGTTAGCAGTTTAGCTGGCAATAGCTCAGTTTCAACTAGATCTAGACTTAGACTCAATCAGGTCAGTGTGAGTAGTAGTCAGTAGATGGTTTCAATTTTGAATTCAGACTAGGGACTTGGATGACGTAGATTTTGAGGCACTAAAAACGAGAGTTTTCTGCCCATACCGAGTTTCGTCGATTTAGCCGTGCGGTCGCGGGTGATGATCGAAAAAAAATTTTTTTATTATAAATCGCCGATGCTACTAATAATTTGATGACTGATTATGAAAAACAAATGGATTTCATATGTTACGGTATTTTTGTTTTGAGATTTTGTTGAAGGTGAAAATGGATTTTTGGAGCCAAACTTTGGCTACGTAAAACTCTTTGTACCATAAAAACTTACTAACAAAGAAGGCCAATAAAAAGCCCTCCGACCATAATCACCATTTTTCTTTATGTGTGTAAATTTTCATAATGTTAATCGATAGCAAAGTATTTTTTTATAAATAGTTTAGAAAGTATAGGCTTAAGCCATTTTACGACTACCGGGAAAGACAGAGGTTTAAACCGGAAGTGTACTTGTGTTGTTAATGACGCCATTGCTCTCAATTGAATTGATTTGTAAATCCAGCAACATCCACACGAATCTGACTTTAAAATCATTTTAAATTATAGAATTATATTTTATATTGATAAAACTATGATTTTTTGTTGACTTTGTGCGCATATTTTCTATTTAGATTCATTTTTTTTGTAATTTTGAGTTAGATCTAAAAATAGATTTCTGCGAAATTTTTCAAGTTGAATTATTGTTTCATTTCAATTGTATGGCCTAGATATAGATCTATATTGTTCTTGAATGAGTTCTGTATTTTATATTAGCTATCATTATAGTAACTTGTGTACTTTCCACATTTTTCTTAAATTTTAAAGCTTGATATAGGCCTAGATCTAGAATCTAATATAAAATTCCATTTGCCTATCATTTGGTCTATAAAATATAGGCCAATAGGGTAATTCTATATTAAACATATAGCCTTTTGATTGCTTTTCAAGCGAATTTTTATTACCAATATTACTAATATTCAAACATTTTAGGAGTCCTATATTTTCTTTATAGCTCTAGGACTTTGTTCGTTTTAGATTTATTACTAAATTACTACAATCCTTGTACAATGTTCTGTCTTCATCTGTAGGCCTATTTGAAGTACATATGATACTACTGTATTTTTGCTGTAGTATTCATCTCAGTTGCTTTTTTACTAGTCTTGGCCCTAGATAAAATGTACCAGTTCACAAGGGGATAGAGAATCAAAAGATGTGGATCTACTCATAAGCAACTTCAATGAAGGAGAAATAGGTCCACTTAAGAATGGATGTTGCTGGTTTTTATTACAGTTCTAAAAGCTATCAGCCAGAGGAGACACAGCTTCAGTAGATGTTTAATCAGATTTCATTTTTAAATCATTGATGGTGTTATTTTTTAAAGTAAAAAAGTGATACGGGCTAACAGACTTAAACATGTTATCCACACAGCATGAGATGTCACTTAAATATATGACAGATGTTTCTAAATTATAAAACTTACCTTTAACATTAAATGGTGATCATTACTCCACCAATATAAAATCATTTCAATTATTAAATTATTTGTTCAACAATAATTGTAAATTAAATTATATCAATTCTATGTAACATACACATAACATGGATGAAATATCATGCATATTGACAACATTTAGATGCAATTTTAGTTATCTAAAATCAGTTTAGCATTGTACTTCTTTCTTGCAAAAAAGTAGTTGCGCAGAACAAAAATGACTTTTTAAATTTGACCAACATTGTAACAAAACCACATAAGCTAAGTGAAATATTTTTACTTTGTGTGGATGTATACAATGTTGGCACCAATTAGGCCAATTTTCATTAAGATATTCCATATAATAAAAATTTGGCAACAGATTATGTGTTGCCTATAGCTGAATTTATTGTTTAAAATTAAGGGGGGTATATGAGTTTAAACCCCTTTTTCATTAAATAAAATATTTTTAAAATCAAATTTGAACAAAGGAAATATCAAAGTATATAATAACCTTCATGTTTACAATATTTCTTGCATATAAGCAAAGTAATCTAAAATCAGCTCAACATTGTACTTCTTTCTTGCAAAAAAAGTAGTTGCGCAGAATAAAAATGACTTTTTTATTTTGTCCAACATTGTAATAAAACCACATAAGCTAAGTAAAATATTTTGACTTTCTGTTAATGTATACAGTGTTGGCACTATCCAGGCCAATTTTCAGTAAGATATTCCTTATAATAAAAATTTGGCAACAGATTGTGTGTAGCCTATCAAAGACGCTTATTAAAATTTTTTAGGGGGGTGACCCTCTTTGTTAACATTATTTTTTATGATCATTCTCATCCAATTCAATTATTTTTATCTTACTCTTTTACTGATATCATAAGCTTGATCTTAGTGAATTTTCATTAAAAAATACCTGCTATTTAAAAAGTTACAGAGATTTTAGTTCGCATCCAAAAAAGTAGGGAAGCAAAAAATTGAGAAAACCCCATATTAAAAAAACCCGAAAATTAAATGCATTAAAAATTCATAACTTCGTAACCGTTTGAGCTAAAATTAAAATAAAAGTATCTTTGTTCTTGTCTAAATGAGCTCTATAAACTGGTGCTACTACATTTTTTATTTTTTTAAAAATGAAATTTCATCCAAGTCCCTAAATTCAGACAGAGCATCAGAGCCAGAGTGAGAGCGGGTCGTACGATTAAAAGATTCAAGATAGATCTATAGACCCTATCTAGTCTGAAACAACTTGAGCTAACTATTAGATATATTTATACATTAAAAAGGTTTTAAAATTGCATTTACTGAGCTCAGATTTTGGAACCCATGATTTTTAATACAATTTTTAGCGATGCCCATAACACCACTTCTCAAGGTGGTCGCCATGTTTTTGAAGATCACGTGACGTAAACAAACGGTCTAAACACACAAAGTTTAGTTGAGTAGCCTAAAAATTATTATCTAAACAGATGTCACTTAAATTATAGATCTAAATTTGTATAAGGGGACACCCATTTATGACGTCCGCAAAAATTTAGGATTTTAGACTTCCCCCAGTCCACACGCGTCCACTTTCGACATTTGCAAAACCACCAGCAATGTGCACGAAAAACATAAATATAAATTCATTGTTTTGTTTAGTCATATTTTGGGCTCCTTTAGCGGTCTGCCCCCCCCCCCCCCACGCATTTCAGGCTCTGGCGGCATGGTAGTTCCGCCCCTGGTCACACCTCAGCTTAACCCCCCCCCCCCCCTATCAAAATAGCTAGCAGATGAAAATTTGGGTTTTAACATTACTTATTTAAAATACAAAAGTGTGACGTCACACTACCTGAACAGCCCCCCTCCCCAGAGGCGTAGCGAGGGGGGGGGGGGGGCGGGGGGGACATATGTCCCCGGGCGCCGACCTTGGGGGGGGGCGCCAAATGAAAAGTTCGAGGGGGGTGCAAATGAAAAGTTCGAGGGGAGGGGGGTGCTAATCGAAAGTTTTGTCCCCGGGCGCCGGGAGGGGTCGCTACGCCTCTGCCCCTCCCTCCCATCATTACACATCATCACGGTATTACAAACCGTTTTGACGTCATTCAAATTGTTTGGATCCCCATAGTCCACGAAGGCTGAAGGTTTTTGGAATTTAAAAAAAAACGCAATCGTTAGCTGCCACGATCGCCCGACAACATCTTTTACAATTAACAACTTATTTTACCATACCTTTGTGGAGAATGATCAATGTGTGCTCAATGTCTGATTTCTTTTCGAGGCAACCGATAAACTAATGTTAATTTAAATTATCTAAATCAAATATACCTCGCTCTAAAGCATGCATTATTATTATGAGGCACTTAAAATTTTTTATATTGGTGGGGATTTCCTCCTACATAATTATTACTTGTGAACATGATAAGCGCCATAATGGTAGGTCTATGGTTTTTTTCTTTTCTGGATGTGCTTCCGTAGCCTTTGTCCACATAAGAACAGTCTGCTAGGCAGCAGTTGTTTGAATTTGGAATTTTTACTCCTAACACCACCCAGCTAACAAGCCTCATCTGCCCGTAGACTGGGAAAATCTTGGTAACTATGACAACGGCGGCCATCTTGAAAAAATAATCTCTTTAGTACAGGGGTCGGCAACCTGCAGCTCGCGAGCCGCATGCGGCTCTATTTTATGTCAATATGCGGCTCTCCAGTTCCATAATAATTATATTATTTTATTTTCAAAACTAAAAAAAATATTATACTGTAAAAAAGAAAACATATTAAAAAAAAACAACATTGAGAATAGGTGGAGTAGAGCGTATTTGGACATCTGACAGCATTAGGCCCAGCCCCAAATGTGTGCTTCACCAGCCCAGTGGCAATAGTACCCTGCTTTCCAATACCGAAGTGCACATAAAAATGTTAGTGGATCTTTAAAAATTGAGAAATTTTGTAGATTGTAATGTAACTTTTGGCTCTCCCGTCTCTGAGTAGGATTTCCACCATTCATTAAGTATTGTAATTTAACCCCCAATAAACAATAAATTCATAGGGGTCATCCGTCATCCATAAATGACGTCACGCTGTTTTTGACGATTTTTACCTCACACGTCGTCACAAAAAGCCAGACCCCCCCCCTAAAATGACGTCACAACTCAGCCTACAACCCACCTCAAAATTGCTGTTGCATTTTTCTTACAACATCGATATTTTTCTAAAAAATCTTGTCAGAACTCTATCAACATGGAGTATTTTGATCAAATTCCTATTATAATTTATTAAAACCGTTTTCTAAAACGCTAAATAACGGCTAAAACTCATTTTCTAACATTGCTTTTTTATAATGCAAAAAAGTGACGTCACACCATCTACCCCCTCTCATCACACACCGTCACAAAATTACGGACCCCCTCTCCCTACAAGTGTGACGTCATTTATGGACGACCCCTAACCTTCTACCATATTTTGGGGTACTCAGCTAAAAATTTAAAGTGCACATCTACAAACTAATTTATCATGAATTTTCAAATTGTGGGTCCGTTAAAATACTCAGTTTAGTGCCCAAAATTTCCCATGTCTAAAGTAATCAGACTGTTAAAATACACTGCGCAAAACAGAAGTAAAATGTTTTTTGAGTGCAAGTTATTCTTAAAAAATAAATAAAAATAAAACGCTTTAATAACAAGCTTGTATTTAGTTATGCAGTAAAAAGGAGAAAATAAATGATTTTTTTGAATATAAAATTACGTACTACTATTTAAATAACTATAAAGAAAAAGTGGGTCTCTTACTACATTTAATTAAAAGATAATGTAGTGACCCACGCTTTTCTTTATATTGATTTAAATGATAGTCAAATTTGATTTCAGATTACATTGTCATCGAATCTTGACCCACATACCAAGTTCCAGAGAAATCGGCCAGTTAGAAGAGGTTGAAGTTTCGATCGATACAGACAGATGTGACGAGGAAGATTGTAAAAAGCAAAGAAAGAAAATTTGTATATTTGGGTTTCTTTAATCCATAAGAAAAAAAATGTTGATAAATAACATCCGGAAAAATGTATAAATGTAAATTATCACAACAATACAAGTTTTACTTTTAACATGATAACGAGATGTTAACAACTTTAGCAAGCTCTGTCCGTACATTATTACGAGATGTTGCCTTTGCCAAAAAAAAAAAAAAAAAAAAAAAAAAAAATCCCACCAGCGTGCGAGTATCACAGTTAAAAAAAATCACAGATTGAATGTGTTAAGTATAAAGTATAAAACATAAGGAATATAATGGATCACAGATTGAATGTGTTAAGTATAAAGTATAAAACATAAGGAATATAAAATGGATCACAGATTGAATGTGTTATATATAAAACATAAGGAATAACACGTCCACTGGTCTTACGCTAAATTTACGAGCCAAAATAGATAAAATTTAGGCATAAATTCATTTTGCTTTTCTTCTGCATGTTTGCACTGTAATTTGCACTGTAATTTGCACACGTACCTAAACCCACTTAATTAGCCCTAATTACACCAATCAACTAGACATAATTAAATTAGCTACCTAGACCCAATTAAACACTTACTGTATTCTGCTTTTGAGGCATTTTATCTATAATCATTATAAAAAAATAGCATCTAAATAAATAATTAACTAAGATAAAAGCTAAATAACTGTTTTGTCTAGTCGAAATTATCGACGGGTTAAAAAAACAACAAAAACAACAACAATCAGGTCAAGCAGATTGAAATAAACAACGGCAACCGCTGTCTGAATATTGTTTATAATTGTGCAGAGATTTTTTAAAGTCATTTAAGGTGTCATACTTTAATAACATCGCCTGGGAGGGGAGGTAATTGTGTATTGTTGATGCTCTGGCTTGCCCAATAATAAGGGGAGATAAAAAAAAACACCAAAAATAACAGTGCGGCGTAATTATAAGGATGACCGCTTAGAAACTAGCCGTGATTATAAGGATGACCACTTAGAAACTAGCCGTGATTATAAGGATGACCACTTAGAAACTAGCCGTGATTATAAGGATGACCACTTAGAAACTAGCCGTGATTATAAGAAGGACCACTTAGAAACTAGCCGTGATTATAAGAAGGACCACTTAGAAACTAACCGTGATTATAAGAAGGACCACTTAGAAACTAGCCGTGATTATAAGAAGGACCACTTAGAAACTAGCCGTGATTATTAGAAGGATCACTTAGAAACTAGCCGTGATTATAAGAAGGACCACTTAGAAACTAGCCGTGATTATAAGAAGGACCACTTAGAAACTAGCCGTGATTATAAGATCGACCACTTAGAAACTAGCCGTGATTATAAGAAGGACCACTTAGAAACTAGCCGTGATCACAAGATCGACCACCTAGACTGCCATTAGAGTTTGGTACACGGGTCAGCACGAGGTTTTACCAGCAGCAGTACAGCACCCCTACAGCGGAGAGTGCTAACACAGCTACAGGTGTGCTGGGGCGGGTGCTAGAATCACCGAGGTTGTTTTTGTCTCTCAAGGCTTCCGACAGGTCTATGGTCAGTGTCTCGGCCACACCAAGCGGAGCATGGCCGGGGTTGAGGGCTTGAGCTTTGGAGATCTCCATGTAGATGGGCGTGGTCTCCATTAGCTGACCGCTGGCCGCTCTCTTCCGGCGGATGGTTTGTGAGATTTTTCCTGTGTTGCAGGACCTGAGATGGGAGAGAAAGATCTGTATGAGGTAGTACAGGTAGTGGAGGTAGTGGAGGTAGGAGGTAGTGCTGGTAGTGCTGGTAGTGGAGGTAGTGCAGGTAGTGCTGGTAGGAGTAGTGAAGGTAGTGGATGTAGTGTAGTGGAGGTAGTGCAGGTATTTGAAGTAGTGCAGATAGTGGAGGTAGTGAAGGTTGTGCTGGTAGTGTAGGTAGTGCTGGTAGGAGGTAGTGCTGGTAGTGGAGGTAGTGGTGGTGGTGGAGGTAGTGTAGTGGCAGTGGCGTAGCGAGGTCGGGTGTCACCCGGTGCGGCACTTAATGGTGTCACCCCCCCCAGAGGCGTTGCGACCCTTCCCGGGGACAAACTTTCAAGTTTTCGATTTGCACCCCCCCCCCCTCAAACTTTCGATTTGCACCCCCCCTCAAGTTTTTCTCTATATATTTTGCTATTTTTTGCCTTGGTGTCACCCCCCTAAATGGTGTCACCCGGTGCGGTCCGCACCCCCGCCCCCCCCCCCTCGCTACGCCCCTGTGTAGTGGAGGTAGTGCTGGTAGTTGAAGTAGTGCAGATAGTGGAGGTAGTGTAGGTAGTGATCTTAGTTAAAAATTAGACCTTGATCATGATCTCAGATAAAATTAGACTGTTTAAGATCCGAGGTAAATGATATCACTGTGAACACTGACCTATCACATTCAGGACTTGTGTCATTGGCCAAACAAATCAAAACGTCACACTTGATGTAAACTTGAGAATAGCCCTGGAACTGGAAGGCTTGGAATCGGAAGGACTCGAGCGTGTTGTTGATGGGGTACATGGACACGCTCTGGGACTTTGAACACCTGGAGAACAAAGATGGGGTACATGGACAGGCTCTGGAACTTTGAACACCTGGATAACAAAGATGGGGTACATGGACAGGCTCTGGAACTTTGAACACCTGGATAACAAAGATGGGGTACATGGACAGGCTCTGGAACTTTGAACACCTGGATAACAAAGGTGGGGTACATGGAGAGGCTTTGGAACTTTGAACACCTGGATAACAAAGATGGGGTACATTGACAGGCTCTGGAACTTTGAACACCTGGATAACAAAGATAGGATACATGGAGAGGCTTTGGAACTTTGAACACATGGATAATAAATGGGCACAACGTTTTCTATAAAAACGTTAATAAATGATAGCTAATTATGCATACAAAATATGTAGAGAGGTGTAAAGGTTCAAGATATATAAAAAAAAAATATAAGCTGAAATTTGCATACACACCTAGGAAAATACACAACGACCCACCTGTACAAATGGACGCATAAAACTTATAACATGCATAAAAATTTAAAGGACAGAAAATCGAACACTTACAAATACAAACACACAAAACGTCATCAACAAACTCAATACATACCTGCTTACGCAGACACAGACTCGCACAAACACTGACAGAAACACACAGGAACACCCCGCATTGCACGCGCACTCACTTTTTAGAAATCAGATCAACTGGAAACGCGGACGTCATGGAAGGATCACCCACAGCGTTGGCCTTACAGTTGGTCAAGACAAGACGCAGTATTGTCCCGGCCATGACAGGGTCGCTGGTCACAAGCTTGACCCCTAGGTAGACCCAGCTACTCATCTCCACCACATAAGGATTCTGCGTCACCAGCACGGAGCAGTTCCAGTCTAGATAGAAGTCAATTCTAACCTAGGAGTATCAAGGATAAATATTAGAAAGCTGCCAGGAAAACAGCATCCATTTCTTGGTATCTCTGAGAGAGTTGCCAGATGTGAAAGATATTCTTACCTCGTATTTGAATTCGATTTCCACGGATTTGTTCTGGTAACTTATGCTAGGCTGGTACCCGATGATGTTGGTTGATACAGCCATAGGTGCCACGCATTGGACGGTGTACCTGAAAACACGTGGGGGATGGTAGCGTGTAGATTATAGATTAAAGAAATGAATTTTCGTTTTGGTTGTTACTAGGTTGTGGTTAGGGTTAAGTTTAGAGCTATAGCTAGGTTTGGTGTATGTGTTATTTTCTCAAACGTCCATATTTGCATATAGGCATTTAATCTGAATAGTAACATATTTCCTAAACCCGGGCAAAGCAGGGTATGTATTAAATACACAAGTCATGGTCCTTTACAGATAGGTTATTCAGAGAGGCCATTGCAGGGCCTGGCCGGAACGGCTAGTGTTTAATACAATAGAGTGTCATGACTTAAAACTATTACGTACGAAATGAGCATGATAATGCGCGTACAATAGAGTGGAATAGTAATAGTATGGCACCCTACTAAAGTAAGAAAATTTGTGCCACGTGCCAAGTTTGAAACGAATCAGTAATTTAGAAGTGCTCGAAATTTTGACCGTCAATTTCGATGTTTGACGACATGCAAAAGTAAGACAGAAGAAGCAAGTTAAATAAAGCTTGTAACTATAAATTAGTTTGCTTTCTTTAATAAAAGCTTTGGTCTCTAATACATTTTAGAGCTCTAGGAAGCGACCATTGCTTTTACTAAAGAAAGCAAGATTGCTATATTTTTTATGTTTAGTACATTTAAAAGCTTGCTATTATAAATGTGTTTATATATTTTTAAAATTAAAATACTCTACTTCTTGCAAAGAATGAACATATATAACCGACAGCCTTTAATTGTACGTAAATACCTAGTTCAAGTTATTTTGGTTAATTAACACCCTACACCATCCATAGGACTTGGTTACTCATCTCTAAACAACACCCTAACCCTGAAGTTTAACAAAGCATCATCAGACAAGATCAGAAGAGAGTACAGTAGTTGTCTCTAATTGAAACCCTCTAACAAAAGTACGAAAACTCACAAGAAACTTTTTGTGTTGGTTACTATACCCAAGTAGCCCACCTGATACACATAGATCACTTGGTTTTGGTAGATGTTGTGGGTACAGTTGGACTGAAATAGAAAGGGCATTAGATGGTTAGTATATTTTTGTACTGAAAAAGAAAGGGCATTAGATTATTTCGTATGTTGTTGGACTGAAATATAAAGGGAATCGGATGCAGAGTTTCTTCCAGGCATCTCTAGAAGCCCCCCCCGAAAAATTTTTACCGCCCCCCCCCCGAACGAAATGAAATTTATATAATTTATATAGAAAATATATACTTTTAACAGTGTCCGCCCCCCGAAGAAAGTCTACCGCCCCCCCCCCCCCCCCCCCCCCGAAAATTTTAAGTGCCCCCCCCCCGGAGAAAAAAGTCTGGAAGAAACACTGCATTATGTATAAAATTTGACTGAAATGGCAATATAAATTTTAAACTTAA